TCTTTCTTAACGCACATACACTCAGAAAAATGTACATGCACTGATAATGAAACTAATTTTGTAAGCGATTAATAAAATAATATTATTTAACTTAAATTTTAAATTGTAATGGCTATAAAAAATGTACCACCTAAGGAACCTTTTTTATTACATTTTCAGTGTCTTATTGGGTCAAAAACCTACGATTTGTCATGTTCATCCAACAAAGTAATAGTTGTTATCATATTGTCATGACAATAAGAAATACTTTATGTTTATATTAAATCTTTGTCGGACTTAAAATGTTTTTGTTAAATCTATGGTTGTGTGTGAATTGCGCTTACATAAAGTAATGCGCAGTTGTTATAGTAAAATTTGTTCATTTTACTATGGCATATTTGTCTTTTTTAAATTATTATCGTTGTAACTCAAATTAATTTTATTTCAGTTAGAAAATCTTTGTTAATAGTTTACTTTAAGACTTTTTTAATATTTACTATTGTTTTGCAATGGTAACAAAATTGTTGTTATTTCCCTTAAAAAGAGGGGGAAAGGGCCAGCGCTCTCCTTGGTGAACATAACTTTATAATCCACAGTCTGTGTTATAATCTTATTGATTTCACTTGTGCGAGTGACGTGTGGTAAAATCTGGCATGATAAAAATAACAAAAAGATCACTGAGAAAATTAAATATTCGACGTTTTCTAAAATAAATATTTAAGGTCTATTCTCTAAAAGAAGCAGACTTGTTGTTTAAAAAGTGAGTTCATATTTTTTTTATTTTGTACATCATATGATATGAGTTAATTTTTTGTTATAATAAATAATTTGTTTTAATGCCTTGCAATTATTTAAAAAAACTACCCAACACCCAACAGTAGGTTGAAAATGTGACCATTGTTACAATGAAAATAGTTTATTGAATTAACAATTAATTTGTTGTTAAATTTACATAAATATTATTAATATTATAAAAAAAGTTTTATTTTAAACGAAAAGGGATTTGTAAAATTTTTAAAATTTCTATGAATAATACCATTAGGGTTTCATTAATACCACAAAACGTTATTGTAAACGGTACAGAACTGTTTTTTTGGACAAATAATAATAACTATATTTATCAAATTCTGAGTGTATATATATGTTTTCGCATCATGGTTTTATGTTGCACAAATATATTTTAAAGCTTTTGCACATTTTTCTTTTTTTTTCGCACTGTTTGTTTCTTTGCAATGGGCATGTTTTATTTGTGTTCTGTGTTTTTTTTCTAATGAATAATGTTAATAAAGGTGCATGGTTTAAACAATCGATGGTTTGGTGACTTTGCATTTATTCAAAAAAAAATTAAAAGAAATGCAAATTTACCATTACCTATACGCTAAAGAAGTATATCTAGTAGCGCCACCACTCGGCTGTTATCATCGTAACAAAAGTACAACTTTTAATAATCAGCTGTCAAACGCTTATGTTACAAACGAGTGTTTTTGAGATTAAAGCCGGAAAATGTTTAAAATATCGGAAAAAAACTGTGGCTCAATTTGTTGTGTTGTTGGGTGTATTTCAAGAGGAAATCCTGGGTTGAGTTTTTACCGGTTTTCCAATAAACAGTGTTAATCTGAATGAAGAAATAAATTGCAAACAGTCTCTGTAAATATAAATTGTACCTATTAGATACAATAAATACACGTTTTAGTAGTGATTAACGTGAAAAGTGTAAACATTTCAATTCAGTAAAAATCGTCAAACAAAAAAGTCGTCTAAATTTAAACAGCATTTAGCATTATTAAAAGCGTTGATTAAGAAAGTCTCCCCTCAACGGTAAAATACCATTATATTATGTATTATTTATAATATTATGTTGCCATGAATTCGTAGACCTACCTATACCTGTATATTTTGTTGTTTAAAATGCAGTGTCGGCGTTTTTTAGAGAACTCGAACATAAAAATGGTTGATTTTAAGGTTATGTTTGTGCAAAAATTATTTTTTACTAATTCCTTAAAAATGTCCAAAGTTAAATATAAATTATATTAGGTAAAGTTATCATTAGTTAATTCTACACCAACAAATGTACTAACCGAATTGGATCCTGTGGCAAAACATGAAAATGCAACGATTTAGTTCTTGAATTTTATTTACAATTAAAACCACAATAATTCACCATGATCCCTTTGATAAAATACACACACTAACGTAACCATATAAGCATTTAAGCGTTGAGTTTCTTTATCAAAGATATAAGGAATAATCAATCAAAATCGAGTACCAAAAAAGTTTTTTAATTTTTCCTTGCAACGTAAAACACAAATAATGTGCGCGATTTAGCTGTGCAATTGAACAAAATTTGTCGAGTAAGACTTCTGCCTTCCTCTCTTTTGTGAAGAAACTACCTATTTATTTAAAAATGATGTCGCCCTCTTTAACTTTTTTATTTTAATTGTCCGAAAAAATTTCAAAGTGTGGTTATGTAGGTACTAAAAAAAACTTTTTTTCTACGTATAAAGAAAATTGGAAAATTAATCAGTATACAGGGAAAAACAAAAAGTTTATTTTTTTTCAATGGATAATAATAATAATAATAATAAAACGTCTTTATTTAACGAGGCGAAGTCTAGCTAGGGCTATTTCACTTAACCTCCAAAACAAAAATACAATTTTTAAATTACAAAACCCAAATAACATTGGTACTAATTTAAAAATAACAAAAAATTCCTATTATATCAGGGTTCCCTCTCACCTGGAAATCCTTGAAAACCTGGAATAGTCAGGGAATCCGTTTAAGTCCAATAAAATCAGGGAAAAGTCAGGGAATTTTGAAAGTCAGCGCAAAAGTCAGGGAATTTGTTAATATTATGGTAAAAGTCAGGGAAATTTATAAAACGGCTTGTTTTCTGACCCTTTTTCGTTGAAAGTCGCCGTATTGGCAACACTGGTATCGTAAACAATTGTTTTCGTACGGCGCCGCCGTAACGGCGGTAATTATCAAGGATTTTACACAAAAAAATTTTACACATCGCAAAGCAATGCACCTGATAAACAAACGAACAATTAACAATAATTAAAACAATTGTCATAATTAATTTTAAATTGTTAAAGTTTGTTGTGCATTGCTTTGATGAATATGGTATATTTGTATAAATGTATACCAAAGAATGTTTTTTATGTTTGTACCAAAGAATCTATTTTATGTTAAACTGTTTTTATTAAAATTTTATTTTAATTTTTATTAAGTATAATATTTAATTTTTAAATAAATATTAACAAAAATAAACGCTATTTGACTTAACATAATTCTGATGGGACACTATTTTGGGAGATAATTGTCTTTATGTCTTTCTTTTATTTATCTGGAATTATAGGGACTTTGGTCAGGGAAAACCTGGAAAAGTCAGGGAATTTTAAATGGTTTTAAAAGAGGGAACCCTGGATCACCCTATATATGTATTTATTTTTCAATTCCTTGTAAAATTCTAAGCATATTTCATACAACATACCATATACCTAAATTCAACCGTTTCTGAAATATTTAAATTATTTTTAAGATAATAAGTTGAAATAGTTTGTCTTTCTCTGTCTGAGTATACTCAGACAGAGAAAGACATAGGCGATATTTACTTATTTAACAAGACATATTGACATAATGTCACTATAATAATTTATTTTCAATAAAAATTTTGGTATATTGAGGCTTCTTGATTTCTAACAGTTTAAAAAAACATTTAATGATAACATTTCGAATGCGAATATTTAAGAAACGGTTGAATTTAGGTATATGGTTTGTTTTATGAATTATGCTCAGAATTTTACAAGGAATCGAAAAATAAATTCATATATAGGGTTATCCATTGAAAAAAAAATAAACTTCCTCAACTTCCCTGTATATTGATCAATTTGCAATTTTTTTTAATACGTGGAAAAAAAGTATTTTTTAGTACCTACATAACCACACTTTTAAATTTTTTGGGACACTTAAACTAACGCCAACATTGGCGATCGCCCCCTGGTACGAACTATAAACATTTATTTATTTAATAAATAAATTATTAATTATAAAACATAAAAAAAACAAAATATACACAAATATTAAAAAAATTCATTTTATATCATTTGGCTAGACTTATGGTACTGAGCCCCCTCAATACCAAATATTTTTGAAAAAAATTTATACAGGGTGAGTTTTAAGTTGACGCGTTTCTTTTAACAGTGTGTAGAAATCAGCTAGACAAATAAATATTTTAAGTTACTTTTTTATCAAAACTCAAAAATAAAAAGTTATAGCCCATCAAAGTTTAATTAAATTTTAAGCCGGTCCTGGCTATTGTTAACGAAAAACATAACCATAAAAATATCAAAATAAACCTTAAGAACAAAAAACAATAAACAATGCAAAATGTCATATTTGACAACAAACATAACCATTTAAATCAAATTGACATTTTGCAATAAAAAATGCCATTATTTACTTAAGTTGCAGCATTTGCATTTTGAAGACACTCTCCATAAATTAGTAACATTTCCACTAATTCATTATTGCTATAATTTTTAACAATAATTGAGGCACAAAAAACTGACATTTTTCATTGCTAAATGTCATTTTGATTTAAATGGTTATGTTTGTTTTCATAGATGACATTTTGCATTGTTTATTTTGTTATTTTTATTTTTATGGTTATGTTTTTTGTTAACAATAGCCAGGACCGGCTCAAAATTTAATTAAACTTGGAAGGCCTATAACTCTCTTATTTTTGAGTTTTGATAAAAAAGTTACTTAAAATATTTATTTGTTTATCTGATTTCTACCCGCTGTTAAAAGGAACGCGTCAACTTAAAACTCACCCTGTATAAGAAGTAAATTTAGCACCCTTAAAAACATAAAAAACACACGTCTTGGGAAAAATATTTAAAGAATAATTTTTGCCGCGTAAATTTACCTCTCAGACCACTGTGGCGCGTTGCGAAAACCCGATACTTCTTTAGCGTATACAAGGAAACAAATGACCATGCTTAACCCTTTAATGCAGCGATCTACCGAAGGAAACCACATCAGTTCTTCTGCTGGGAGTGACCAGAATACCGACCTCTCCGTTGCCCCCGCGCCGCCCCTGCTCCCTGCCCCTCGGCCAGCAAGCCCTCCCGATCCGAACCCCTTCGACGCGCGGACGCCTCTTGCGACGCGACTCGTCGCCGAAGAGGGACCAAAGCCGGCGGAAAAATGATAAGGCGGTCGGTGCGTCGTCTTGCGCTCCGTCACCTGCGCACTCTTTGACTCCTCCTTCGGCCGCGTCTTCGAAGGTCATGGAGCGTTCCGTGGACTCCATCGGGACGTGTTCCTTGGACGTGGAGGCCTCGGCAGTCGTGTCAGGTATAATTCGAAGGCCATGTGTATTTTTTGATTTTTTTTTGTAGTTTTTACCTAATATATTGTCATCCTTTGGGGGGAGGATAGTACACGCCAAAACAAAAAAGTTTTTCCTCCATTATGTTTGCATTAGAGCTACAGTTTTTTAATAAAAAAATAATGAAATTTTTTTGACAAAATCATTGTTTTTACTTTTTAAAACAATGATATTATTCATCCAAGGGCTTGGCTGGATCAGAATGGCCTCCTAGATTTCCAGATCTGACACCATTATTTTTTTGACAAAACCAGTAGTTTTTCTTAATAAAGTAAAGATCCCTATTCGTCCAACAATTGCTCTTGTTACGGCAAAAAGATCATTTTTATAAAAATTATTTATCTACAAACGCTGCTTTCAGTAATAGCATTTGCAATTAATTATAAAGTAAATTTGCGTTATGTTTATAAAAATAACACTCTTCCAGATGCAGAAACGCATTGATAAATGAGGAGCATCCGTGCAAAACCGGCTATATCCACTTTAATAAAATGTTGGGAAAATGGCAAAAACTCTCGGTTTCCTGGCCTTTACAGATAAAAGAAAAAGCAAACTTGAGTTTTGTGGGCTTTGTGGTACTTGATTTATAAGACATACTTTCGTTTTCAAAAACTTTATATTAAGGCCAAAATTTCAAAAAATGGTTTGGATATAGCCGGTTTTGCTCGAAAACTGAATAAAAAACGAATAAAATGTGAAAAAAAACCTTTATTATTCAAAAATATGAACAAAATAAATTTAGTGCAAACATGAAAAAACATAACAAATTTTAGTAGTAGTATCGACATATCCAAGCCACATATTATTATTTATTGGATATAGCCGGGTTTGCTATAAAAACGTGGATTTGGCCGGTTTTGCTCCTAAAGCTACCTAAATGTGATTTTAACATGGATATAGTCGGATTTAAACAGAATTATCTTGGTTGTCGATAGAAATGAACCCAAAGATGCGAAATCAGAAAAAAAAACAAAAATTGAATAAAATGGATTTAGCCGGTTTTGCACGGATGCTCCTCAAATATTGTTATTATTATTTGTCCAAAAAACAGTTCTATACCGTTTACAAAAACGTTTTGTAGTATTAATGAAACCCTAATGGTATTATTCATAGAAACTTTGTAATTTCACAAATCCCTTTTCGTTTAAAATAAAACTTTTTTTATAATATTATTAAAATTTATGTAAATTTAACAACAAATTAATTGTTAATTCAATAAACTATTTTCATTTTAACAATAAATAATTGCAAGGCATTAAAACAAATTATTTATTATAACAAAAAATATCTCATATTATATAATGTACAAAATAAAAAAAATATGTACTCACTTTTTAAACAACAAGTCTGCTTCGTTTATGGAATAGACCTTAAATGGTTCTTTTAGAAAACTTCGAAATTTTAATTTTCTTAGTGATCTTTTTGATATTTTTATCATGCTAGATTTTACCACACTTCACTCGCACAAGTAAAATCAATAAGATTATAACACAGACTGTGGATTATAAAGTTATGTTCACCAAGGAGAGCGCTGGCCCTTTCCCCCTCTTTTAAGGGAAACAACAAAAATTTTGTTACCATTGCAAAACAATAGTAAATATTAAAAAAGTCTCTTTATAACAATACAATATTTTTGTTATTGTTCTTAACGTAAGCTATTAACAAAGATTTTCTAACTAAAATAAAATTAATTTGAATTACGATAGTAATTTAAAAAAGACAAATATGCCATAGTAAAATTAACAAATTTTACTAAAACAACTGAGCATTACTTTATGTAAGCGCAATTCACACACAACTATAGATTTAACAAAAACATTTTAAGTTCGACAAAGATTTAATATAAACATAAAGTATTTTTCATTGCCATGACAATATGATAACAATTATTACTTTGTTGGATGAACATTTTTTTTTTATAAAAGCTCAACATTGCTGCTTCATTATAGTAAATGAGAATTTTATTAACAGTATAAAAGTTTATTCTGTAAATAAAAATAATCTCATTACTTTGACAAATCGTAAGTTTTTGTCCCAATAATTTAATAAAAAAGGCACCTAAATTTTAATGATTTTTTTGTTAAAAAAAAATGACACTAATGCAAAAATGATATATTAGCGTTAAGGGAAAACTGTGCAGGGGAATTTTAAAAATTACCCTCCAATACAAAAATCGTCAAAAAATATATAGTCATTTTTGTGTGTTTTTTTAAATGAGGTTGTCTGGTTTGAAATCTTTTTCGTTTTGTATTATTTTTGCTTTGCAAACTGCTTTTTTATTTTAACTCTTGGTGTTTATTTTTTATATTTTATTTTCTGTGGGGTATACCCTACCTATAGGTTTGTTCCTGTCTTTTTGCTTGTAATTTGTATAAAGTTATTGATTTGTGCTTTTTATGGTTAAACGTTTAATAAATAATTCTAAAATAGTCAAATTGCTAAAAATCTACAGAGTGTTGTTTAAATTAATTTTTAAACAAATTTAACAAGAAAATGATTAAATTATAAATTAAAATTAAATATTTAAACATGCAATATAATTTTAAATTTCATTCTTCAAACTTGACCTAAAATATCTCCGTTATTAAATTTTGCGCTTCATTGGCGACCCAAGACTGCAAATTCATTGTAGCAAAGTAACAGCTTGTCCAATAAATGCATCGATAAATAAAAAGATAAGGCTTTCTAATCAGTTAATTTGTATGTCGTTGGTGCCTTTAGATATGACAGAGTTATTTAAATTTTATTAACTTTCATTTAAAAAGGTTGATTTGTTTTAATTTTACAGACAAAACAAGTTGCTAGTAAATAAATCAGTCACATTATCTAGGTACAAAAAAATTGTGTAGTAAAATTAATTTATTTTGTGAAGTAATAAAAATGTAACGTAATATTATAATTATCTATCAATTATTGTTTTCAGTGGGTGGATAGCCAAAATCAAATGCAAACATTGAAAATAAAAGTGACACCCATTTAAAAAAAAGTTGTTTGCTATAGAAAACAACCTTGAACTAAAGAGTATCTATGTAATATTTAGATTCTAAGTTTTTAAAGAGTTTTTATTTATTATTTATTTATTTTTATTAATTTTTAAAGAGTTTTTATTTATTATTTATTTATTTATTATATTATATACATATTATGTATCAAGTTTGTTTTTGGCTTGGACATATGCCAATTAAGTCTGACAACTGTTAACCATAACCTCACTTTTACCCAATTTATAATAGAACTACGTTCGTTTTTTTATCTGAAATTTGATCTTAAAAATTGAGGGTTCAGTTGACAAAATTTAATACTAGGGATCCTCAATTTATTATTGGCTACATTGGGTAAAACAACTAATTTAGTGGTGTATATGTTTATAAATTTTTAAATGTCAAATGTATGTTGTTAAAAAATGAAATTACTTTTACCTTTAATAAAATATAAATATCTTTGGTATTGTTTATTATAATTCTGACAATTAAATGTCAAAGTATTTATTTGGCCTTGGACAGGAGTACCAATTTTTAATATTAAAAATTCCTTAGTATATTGACATGCAGTACCAACATAATCAAATGTGTCAAATGCCAACTTTTATAAAATACATTGTTAAAAATGTTTGTAAAATTACTACATTTTTACGAAGCAGTTGTAAAATTACAAAATGTTGTATTGTATTATTTTACAATGTTTTTGTTTTTGTCAGATACATACATACATATTAGGAATTTAATTTTACTACAACTACAACTACAACTTCTGTTTGCATTTTTACTATAAATCATTTTTATCATGTACACTGTTAAAATTTTTCAATTATGGAAAAAATGTCAAAAGCATTGATAAACTAACAATTGTATCAATTATTCATTGATCTATTTTGAAATTCTTCTAAACTATATGGTTCTATATTTATTAACAAATCTTTAAGCTTTTTTTTAAATATTGATAATTTTGTTTCAATCTGAAGACATTTTGGCAAATGATTAAAACATTTTATACAAGCATAGTAACAACCTTTCTCATACTGACTCAAACGGTTTTTTTATTACTTTGATTGTGTAGTAAATATTATTTAATTTACTAGCCAGGCTCTGTAGATGTTTTGACCAGTTTAGGTTTTGATCAATCGTAAGTCCAAGAAATTTAGTGTGACGTTTTAATAATTGTATTATTTAGTGTAATTGGCTCTATATTCATCTGGTTTGACAACATTGTTTTAAACAAGATACAATTCGTTTTTGTTTCGTTTAAAATTAATTTATTATTGGAAAACCAATAATAGTAAAAGGTATTAAAAAAAATCTTTCTTATTCTAGATTGGTCTGATCTCTCGTCCGCAGGCACGCTGCGCAGCGCAAGCATAACCCCAATAGCCCCCGACTCGCACCACCTGCCCTCCTACTTGAGCTTGGCCTGCACCGTCAACGGATATTCCACGACGACGAACTACGATTCCGTGCGATTGGCTCGTTCGAGAGATGCCTCGCCGCACCGCATCGACCATTTGACGAAAAAAACCGACCAACCCAACAGCACCCATTCGGTGCGGAATAACCTGCTGTCGCCCCCAAATTTAGTGCCCCTGCCTCCAAGAACCATCGAGGTAAGTAATTCTCTCTTTTTTTTCAAAACAGAAAACCATTTTGCTTTTGCATCTCCGATTTCTACCATTTTCACTATTATTATTACCCAAAACCATGATACTATACATTATACATATATACATTATACATATGTATATTGAGATGTCCCCCAAGTGAAAATATTTATTTTTTATTTTTGGTTGTTTCACTGTTAGTTTAGAATGGGGTTTTTGGGAAGCGACCAGGTCTAGTAATAACATAATATAAGTGGTTCTGCACTAATGCAAGAATTTTAAGAAATCATACATTTTGAATATTAGAGCTTCACGGAGGTTAGGATTTAGTATGTTTTTAACCAGTAATTGACCAGTTAAGGAAATTTTCGTGAATAAATTATTATATTTTCCTCTATTTTTAGTTTAAATTAAAATAAAAAATATCATTGAGTTTAATTTTGTTTTAAGATTTGATAACAGCTGACTAAAAAAGAAAAAGAGTTTCTATGCCGACGAAAAAAAATTTAATGCACGAAAATTCATGATTTTCCAGTGGTTGACCAATGCCTTGTAAGCAGATATCATTAATAAAACTGTGCCATCTAGAAGTTAAGGGGTAAAACACTATGCAAATAATATAAGTTTTTAATTAGGTAATACAGGGACCTTGCTTTTATCATTTAATAGGTAAATTGGTCAATAACTGGTTGATGGTCAATTACTGGTTAACTGACCCTATATTTGAAATAAGTTATTGTATCTTGACACCTTAATATTTTAAAAAAATACAATTGTACATACATAAAATATTTATAAAAAGATATTCACAGTGGATAGGTTTTTAAATAGCAAATTAATGAACTTAAACTTTTGAATTACAAAACAGCAACACTCTCATCTACATATAAATTCTAACTGACCTTCAGGAATCACATGCATCTGTAATGTCATAAACAGAGGTTTTTGCTTATTTAAAATGATTAAAGCGCCATCCGTTGCATAAAATTTAAAGCAAAAGCAGATTCACGGAGTATAGAATCAATTTTAGTAACACTTATGTACATAAATCGTTATAAAAATGATTTCTTTTAATTTTTAACAATATTTTATATTTGATTCGATTGCTTTGGATGTGTTTAATTTACTTAGTGAACTGATATTTTTAGTATTCCAGTAACCGTCACGGAGGATAGATTTTAGACTTATAAAACATTGTAAAAAATAATTAATTCACCCATTAACCTTTAAATAAAATTTAAAAATGCAATTATCTCTGGGGTGGTACAGTGAAAATTAGAATGTCACCTTTTTGTAGACCATGACGGAAAACACGCTGGCTCAGCGCCACCACCAGGACTTTTTCCGCAAAAGCGAGTCCCGATTTTCCTCGTCGCTATTTTCCAACGACACCATAGACGCCTGTATAGAAAACGGCCACTCGACCTACCAAAGCAAATGCGTTTCCTTCGAAAGCAAAACCGTCACCACCATCAACGGACAATCGAAAACCACATCGGAATCCACAGTAAGACTCTTGGACCATAGACCAAAGACAGGGTAGATAGAGCACGAGTGATCCATCTCCCCAGTCTTATGTCTATGGTTTTATTATTTTTTTCACGCATTTTTAGGTGAGAAAGGAATTTAGCAACGGAAAATCGTTTATCCAGCAAAGGGTGGAACGTTTGTATGGTCCTGGAGCTCTAGCTCAAGGTTTTTTCGTTAGCAAACGCAATAAAAATCGTTTGTCTGAATCGGAATCGGACAAAGATAAGGAAAATGATCATCCGGAAAAAAATAAACACAATAAATCCATGCAAGATGCTCTTCTTTTGGATTCGCAAGGTAAAAATGTTTTTTTATTTTTTTAATGTTTTTAATACATTTCAATGTTTTCTTAAAATTTTTCAATAAAATTTAGTATAGGGTATTTTTGAAAAATATGCCGTTTTTGCTTCAAAAATACAGTTTATCAAAATCTACACTTTAAAACAAATCCGGTTAAAATCGCACAATAAATAAAGATTTTACAGGGGTGAGTCGCAAACAAATGCAATAAAAATTGTAATAATGTCCTTTACATATTACTTCATCTAAAATTATTCTAAAAATGTTTTAAAACGGTTTTAAAAAATGTCTAAATCTCCAAACATTTTTAGAAATGTTTAAAAATATCTTCAAATGTTCCTAAATTTTGTAAAAATTGAATAAACAAACCTAAAATTATTTTAAAAATGTTTTTAAATTGTTTCTAAATGTCCAAACAATTTTAGAAATGTTTAAAAATATATTAAAATGCTTATAGAATTTGTAAAAGTGACCTTTACATATTACTTAATCTTACATTATTCTAAAAATGTTTTGAAACGTTTTTAAATCTCCAATTTTTTAGAAATGTTTAAAAATATCTTAAAATGTTCCTAGTTTTTTTTTAATATTTCTAAATCTCCAACCATTTTTAGAAATGTTTAAAAATATATTAAAATGTTCCTAAAATTTGTAAAAATTACCTTTAGGTACATATTACTATATCTTAAATTATTCTAAAAATGTTTAAAAACGTTTTTAAAATATTTCTTAATCTTCAAACATTTTTAGAAATGTTTAAAAATATCTTTAAATGTTCCTAGATTTTGTAAAAATGGAATAAACCTAAAATTATTTTAAAAATGTTTCTAAAATATTTCTTAATGTCCAAACAAATTTAGAAATGTTTAAAAATATATTAAAATGCTCATAGAATTTGTAAAAATTACCTTAACATATTACTTAATCTAAAATTATTCTAAAAATATTTTGAAACGTTTTAAATCTCCAATTTTTTTAGAAATGTTTAAAATGTTCCTAGAATTTGTAAAAATTACATTTACATTTTACTATATCTTAAATTATTCTAAAAATGTTTAAAAACGTTTTTAAAATATTTCTAAATATCCAAATATTTTAGAAATGTTTATAAATATCTTTAAATGTTCCTAGATTTTGCAAAAATTGAATAAATCTAAAATTATTTTAAAAATGTTTTTAGAATAATTCTAAATGTCCAAACAATTTTAGAAATGTTTAAAAATATATTAAAATGCTCAATTTTTTTAGAAATGTTTAAAAACATCTTAAATTTTTCCCAGAATTTGTAAAAACTGCCATTACATATTACTTACCATATCTTAAATTATTCTAAAAATGTTTAAAAACGTTTTTAAAATATTTTTAAATCTCTAAACATTTTTAGAAATGTTTAAAAATATCTTCAAATGTTCCTAGATTTTGTAAAAATTGAATAAATCTAAAATTATTTTAAAAAATGTTCAATTTTAGAAATGTTTAAAAATATATTAAAATGCTCATAGAATTAGTAAAAATTTCCTTAAACCAATAAAATTTAGTATGGGGTCGTTTTGAGGGCTGGTGAATCCAGTACCGTACTTAGATTTTGTTTAAAAAAATCGCTAATGTGAATTCTTAAAAATTTAATAATAATAATCGTTTATTTAGCAACCTTGCTATATACAAAAAACATTACAATAAAATACAAAAGTATTATATATAATTAAAAATAAACAAATTTAAACAATAGAATAAAATAACATAATATAATATATAAAAAGTATAAAAGGTATAAGATATAAAAATTTAGAGGAATAAAAAGTTAGAATTAGGTAACATTTTCCATGGTATAATGTCTTAACAATTTCTTAAACAGTTCAAGGTTATTACACCTTTTTATCTCAGGTGGTAGCTTATTATAATTTGCCAGACCCTTATGCAATATTGAATTCAACAATTGGGTTGTGTTGCATTTTTGTTGTAGTATAAAATCATTACAGTTTCGTGTGTTGTAACCATGGACATCTTTAAATAATTTAGTTTTATCACAGATATATTTAGGTAACAAACAATTTTTTATTTTAAAAACAAATAAGTTGACATTAAACATAACTTTTTGTTTCACAGATAATACATTTAAAACATTTAACATGGACAAAACTGGAGTATACCGATTACACTTTAAAATAGTTCTTAGGGCTCTGTTTTGAATGACTTGCATTTGGTCAATTTTATAAGTTGGTAAATTAAATAATAGTGTAGAACAATATTCCAAATGTGGTACAGCAATACTTTTATATAATAACAATTTTGTGTGTAATGACAGATTTTTTCCTATACGTGCTATAAAACTTATTTTTTGTGAAAATTTCCGCATTGTGTGATCTGCATGTGTGTAAAATCTTAAGTTAGGATCAAAGATGACACCTAAATATTTAATTTCACACTCATGCTCAATTTTACATTTGTTAATTTTGACATTTACATTTTTTACATCTATTTTTTTTAATATTGATTGTTTTCCAAACACACAAAACTTAGTTTTTTTTTTCATTTAAACTTAAATTATTGTTACATAACCATATAAATATATTGTTTAAATCGTTGTTTATTGTATTGGTCATGGTTTCAATGTTTTTTCCAATAATGTACACCATAGTGTCATCAGCAAATAATTCAATTTGACATTCTTTTACACATTCAACAACATCATTTACATACAATAAAAACAATAATGGTCCTAACACAGTCCCTTGGGGCACTCCATAATCAACATTTAATAAATCTGACACACAGTTTTTAAATTTGACCTTTTGTTTTCTGTTTGACAAGTAAGAGTGAAACCAGTCTTTTGCTGTTCCGTTAATACCTAAAGAACTCAGTTTGTTTAGCAAGATATTTCTGTCCACGGTTTCAAACGCACGTCTCAAATCCAGGAACACAGCCAAAACCAAATTTTCCCCATCAACTTGCCTTAAAAATGTGTCACATATATTTACAACCACGGACTCACACGAATGACGAAGACGAAATCCTGATTGATTGGGTACTAACAGGTTATTTACATCACAATGCTGTTGTACTTGTTCCTTAACTGCCAGTTCTAATACTTTTTCGTAGGTTTCCACGGTGTTAATCGGTCTGAATTCATTTATTTGTTTAGTATTTGGCACTTTTGGTACTGGAATGATTGTGGATATTTTCCATGCTTCAGGAAATGTTCCATACAGTAACGATGTATTTATTATATCTAGCAACCGATTTCCAACTGCCAAGCATGCATCGCATAACACTTGTTTCGATATTCCATCGTCTCCTCCACCTACATTTTTCATCGACCTTAGTATTTTTTTTAAGTCACTCATTGACAGTGATTTAAAATTCAAGAGTTCATGTTGCACCTCATATTTATTGTTTTTCACCTTCTGTACTTTTGGGATATTTTCTATTATGTCCTTAATACTACTTACATAATAACTATTGAATTCTTTGGCTATCTCCAAATTTGGATTTACTCTTAAAAACTTACATAGTAGGCCTTGTATTTTGTAAAAATATGGCGTTTTTTGCTTCAAAAATACAGTTTATCAAATAGGTCTAATTTAATGTAGTGTATTTAAAAAAAAAGTTATCTTGACAAAAACATTTTAAGAAGGAGAAATTTCGCCGATGAAACAGAGCACTAGCAGTCCGACGTTGCCGGTGATGCGCCACTTGCGGCCCGAGTTTCGCGCGCAGTTGCCGATGTTCAGCCCGCGCAAGGAGCAACAAGCGGCAACGTCGCTGGCGCAGTTGCCGGCGATGCCGAAAAGCGTCACGGTGCCTAAATTGAAGGACGACGACGCCGCCCCTGGAAAATTTACTAACGGCAACAGCGCGGACGCCGTCACCAACGGTGAAGTCTCCTTGGCGGCCATCTTGAAGCCGGAAGTCCGAGTCGAAGTCGAAGAAATTGCGAGAGGTGGGTGACAACTTTTTTTTTATTATAAAAATTAACCATTACTTATTTATTACTAAATCTAAAATGTTTTTAAAATGTTTCTAAATGTTCAAGCAATTTTAGAAATGTTTAAAAATATATTAAAATGCTCATAGAATTTGTAAAAATGACCTTTACATACTACTTAATCTAAAATTAATCTAAAAATGTTTTTAAATTTTTAGAAATGTTTAAAAATATCTTAAAATGTTTCTAGAATTTGTAAAAATTACCTTTACATATTACCATATCTTAAATTATTCTAAAAATGTTTAAAAACGTTTTTAAAATATTTCTAAATCTCCAAACATTTTTAGAAATGTTTAAAAATATCTTCAAATGTTCCTAGATTTTGTAAAAATTGAAAAAATCTAAAATTATTTTAAAAATGTTTTTAAAATGTTTCTAAATGTTCAAACAATTTTAGAAATGTTTTAAAATATATTACTTAATCTAACATTATTCTAAAAATGTTTTAAAACGTTTTTAAATTTCCAAATTTTTTTAGAAATGTTTAAAAATATCTCAAAATGTTCCTAGAATTTGTAAAAATTACCTTTACATTTTACTATATCTTAAATTATTCTAAACATGTTTAAAAACGTTTTTAAAATATTTCCAAATCTCCAAACATTTTTAGAAATGTTTAAAAATATCTTCAAATGTTCCAAGATTTTGTAAAAATTGAATAGGCCTTAAATTATTTTAAAATATTTCTAAATGTCCAAACAATTTTAGAAAAGTTTAAAAGTATATTAAAATACTTATAGAATTTGTAAAAATGACCCTATTTTTTTATACGACCTGTATAATAATAATTAGTAAATAATGCTGAGTTGTCAATTTTTTGTTTTTTTAATGATCTAAAACTACGTTTTTATTTAGTAAAAGATAAGAACAATATTAGTATTATTCTTATCTTCTCTATGAATTGTAATTTTTGAATTTTAAATTATGTAACTAGCACAACACGTTTTTGGTTATTTTTTCAGCATTTTAGATGGCTTTGCGTTAACTTCAAACTTCAAAAACCTGTCTGTTTGACATTTACGTTTTTTTTGTGATTTTTTTCAGCATACATTATCAACTATTTTATTGCACATAAATTTCCAGTACTTTTTATTATGATAGATTTTCCCGACTTGCATTATTTTGTTGTGAAAATAAATCATGTTAGTGATATCAGCTGGTTGATGTTCGTATTGATGGGTTTCCTCAGCGTATTACTGGCTTTCGCGTCGAAAAAACTCAAAACAAACCTCTCCAAGAAACTCAAAGGTCCTCAAAAAAACAACCAAATACACTGAGTTAAAAAAATATTCCTTACCCCTTGCAGGTGTAAAAGATGGTCATTATTTCCTGATCATACTGGAGGAGCAAAACAAGAGACTGCTAGGGCTGGCGGAAAAGACTGAAAAAGAACTGGAAAACCCGAAGTTGACCGAGGAAGTCGTCGGGAAAATTCGATCGGCCGCCGGAAAAGCTAAACTCTTGGTTTCCCAGAAAATGCAACAATTCAAAGGGCTGTGTACTAACAATATTAACCAGGTTAGTTTTTCGATGAATTTCAATCGCAAATAACTTTTTTATTTGATGTCGGATTTAAACGAATATTAAAGAATATTGTAGATAAGTTAATGGACAATCGCTCACATTTTAAAAAATTACTAAAAAATAGACGTACGTTTATAATATACAGGTTTAAACAAAAAGGTGTTTTTACCATAAGTTTAAGACACTCTGAAGAGTGGCAAAACCGTATATTGTTCTAAATTAAGTTTTATTTATCAAGTCACATCTATTCTTAACAGTTTTGTTTTTTGTTCACCTTGATATATTTATTTTTGTGGAAAATATGGATTTTTTTAAAAAACATTGCAATTTCCAATATTTTTCTGTATGAAGAACTAAGGTTGCTATGGTCCATCCATAGGCTATGGAGGATGGCAGTGACAGTTTTGTTGAATCATCCCATACTTGGACATGTCATATACAGCTTTCAAAAGCTATCAAATTGTTTTTTGTAAATTAATGTGTTAATTTTGAGGTCTTACTTTTAAAAATGTCTCCGACTGATGTTGCCCTTTGTACTTTACTTCTTGTGACGTTTAAAACACTTGCCACGTAATACTGTGACCGTCCATCCTGGATTAAATTAATAGTTCTGGCAACATCAGTCGGAGACATATCCATTTTTTAAAGTACAAAGACACCTCAAAATTTACACATTAATTTGCAAAAAACAATTTGATAGCTTTTGAAAGCCGTGTATGACATGTCCATGTATGGGATGATGCAACAAAACTGTTACTGTCATTCTCCATAGCCTATGGATGGCCTTGGTTCTTCATACAGAAAAATATTGGAAATTGCAATTTTTTTTTAAAAAATCCATATTTCTCACAAAAATAAATATATCGAGGTGAACCAAAAACAAAACTGTTAAGAATAGATGTGACTTGATAAATAAAACTTAATTTAGAACAATATACGGTTTTGCCACTCTACAGAGTGTCTTAAACTTATGGTAAAAAACATCTTCTTGTTTAAACCTGTATATTATAAAGGTACGTCTATTTTTTAGTATTTTTTTGAAATGTGAGCGATTGTCCATTAATGTATCTACAATATTCTTTAATATTCGTTTAAATCCGACATCAAATAAAAAAGTTATTTGCGATGGAAATTCATCGAAAATTTGTGTGGATCGATTATTTTGCACGTGAGTGTATATTATTACAATAGTTATATATTTTTTTAATTTAGGTTGCAGGTGAAGCCTATCCAACAACAAATGAAGATTTACAAGGTTTTTGGGACATGGTTATGCTGCAAGTTAACCAGGTTGATGCCTTATTTGAAGAGATTAGTGCTTTAAAGAAAAATGACTGGAAAGAGGTAAAAAACATTTATTTTATTTTATATTTAGATGTTTATAACTTTTTATTATTCAATATTATGGAAAAAAGTTTCAAACAAAAAACAAAAACACATTTATACTGTTAAAAACTCATTTTTGACTGTCAAAAACAATTAAGAATGTTATTGCGATTTTTACAAAATGGCGCCCAACTTTTCAATGTTTTATTAAATCTTTTATAACTTTGTTAATTTTTGTTTGATTTCTATGACTTTTGGCGAGTATGATAAACAAAGTATAACGCACTTTGAATGACATTGTCAGTTTTAGCGTAGTCTTTTGTTTTCGAGTAAATAAACGAAACGAACGTTGTAACTCTTTAAATTTGTTTATAATTTATGAACTTTTCCTTTTCTAATGTGTTTTTTTTTAAACATGACTAAATTTTTCTATAAAAAAATAAAAAATGGCAAACTGAAAAATTAATGTTTTATTCTGAAAAAATTAAAAATTTTATTTGAATTATAAGAAGAAAGTTTAAAAACGAAAAATTTGAAAACAAAAAGTTTTGGATTAGTCAGTTTTAAAAAAGTTATAAGGAAACTGAAACATTTTTAGTAGCAACGTCAAAGAACGTCCAAAACTCATTCACAGTGTTAAAAACACATTTTTGAATGTTAAAAACACAATTAAGAATGTTATTGCGATTTTTATAAAATGGCGCCCAACTTTTCAATGTTTTATGAAATCTTTTATAACTTTGTTAATTTTTGTTTGATTTCTATGACTTTTGGTGTGTATGATAAACAAAGTGCGTTATTTTGAATGACATTGTCAGTTTTAGCGTAGTCTTTTGTTTTTTTTATGAAAAAATTAAAAACTTTATATAAATTATAAGGAGAAAGTTTAAAAACAAAAAATTTGGAAAAATTTCTGGATTAGTCAGTTTTAAAAAAGTTATGAGCAAAAGAAAAATTCACAGAAACATTTTTGGTAGCAACGTTAAAAAACGTCAATGTTAAAAGCACATTTCTGAATGTAAAAAAAACAATTGAGAATGTTACTGCGATTTTTATAAAATGGCGCCCAAATTTTTCTATAAAAAAATAAAAAATGGCAAACTGAAAAATTAATGTTTTATTCTGAAAAAATTAAAAATTTTATTTGAATTATAAGAAGAAAGTTTAAAATCGAAAAATTTGAAAACAAAAAGTTTTGGATTAGTCAGTTTTAAAAAAGTTATAAGGAAACTGAAACATTTTTAGTAGCAACGTCAAAGAACGTCCAAAACTCATTCACAGTGTTAAAAACACATTTTTGAATGTCAAAAACACAATTAAGAATGTTATTGCGATTTTCATAAAATGGCGCCCAACTTTTCAATGTTTTATTAAATCTTTTATAACTTTGTTAATTTTTGTTTGATTTCTATGACTTTTGGTGAGTATGATAAACAAAGTGCGTTATTTTGAATGACATTGTCAGTTTTAGCGTAGTCTTTTGTTTTCGAGTAAATAAACGGATCGAACATTGTAACTCTTTAAAATTTTTTATAATTTATGAACTTTTCCTTTTCTAATGTGTAAAAAAATAAAAATTGGCGAACTGAAAAATTAATGTTTCTTTCTGAAAAACTGAAATATTTCTTATAAATTATAAGAAGAAAGTTTAAAAACGAAAAATTTGAAAACAAAAAGTTCTGGATCAGTCAGTTTTAAAAAAGTTATAAGCAAAAGAAAAAAATCACAGAAACGTTTTTACTAGCAACGTTAAAGAACGTCAAAAACACATTCATAGTGTTAAAAACACATTTTTGAATGTCAAAAACACAATTAAGAATGTTATTGCGATTTTCATAAAATGGCGCCCAACTTTTCAATGTTTTATTAAATCTTTCATAACTTTGTTAATTTTTGTTTGATTTCTACGACTTTTGGTGTGTATACAAATATGTTTTCAGGTCAAACCTACAAAGTCTCCAATGAACGGTTCCAGTAGCGGCAAAAGTGCGCGCAAAGGGCCGATCCGAGTCCGACAGGCTCCTAGCGTGAACGAAGAGGCCCGAAAGCAGCGCGAAGCCGAGCGAAAGAAAATGATCGAGGAGCGAAGGAAAGCGATGAAATCTCAAAACCAGAACCACACCCAAAACATTGAAATTTTCGTGCCTGAATCCAGCTGAAATTCGCTACGCAATCGTTTTATTGTTTTACTAGGGAAACATTACGTCTATTTTTTATTTATACAAAACTCTCTATCTAATGCTAATAATAATAATAATAAATTCATACTATACACAGTGTAACATTTTTATTAATTGTAGGTTTTTTATATTATGCTATGTTTTACGTTATTAAATTTGATGCTGTCTATTATTTATTTACAAGTGAATTATTGCTGAATGTTTATTTATTATATACAGGGTGATCAATGCAATTTTTGGATTGACAAAATGTTAATAATATGATAAAATAAAATTTTAAATATTTCGGAATTTTTTTAAAAATTCTAAATTTTGTGGATTTTGAGTTTTTGAAATTTTCAAAATTTTTGAGATTAAATGTTTGAATCTTAAGAATTTTTAATATTTTCAAAAAATTCACAAAATTTAGAAAATTCTTGGTTATGTCAATTTCTTGGAAAATTTAGGAATTTTTTGAAGAATTTTCAAAATTTTGTGGATTTTGAGAACTTCTTGAAAATTCTCAAATTTCAAAAAATTTTGAAAACTCTTGGTTAATTCAATATCTTGAAATTTTTTTTAAAGAATTTTTAATATTTTGAGGATTTTTTGAAAATTTTTAGAATTTTTGAAACATTAAAGGTTTAAAAAATTCTAAATTTATTTACTCAACAATTTTGGAAATTTAAAAAAATTCTGAAAATCACAAAATTTTGAAAATTCTTGTTGTCAAGATCTTGGAAAATTTCGGAATTTTTTTAAGAATTTTCTAAATTTTGTGGTTTTTGAGAATTTTTTGAAAAATTTTAGAATTTTGTTTCAAAAATTCCAAAAATTTTCAATCCCAATAATTTTGAAAATTTCAAAAAATTCAATCCACAAAATTTGAGAGTTTTGAGAATTTTTTAAGAATTTTTAAATGTGGATTTTAAAACTTTTTTAAAAATGTTTAGAATTTTTGAAACATTAAATGTTTCAAAACTTCTAAATATTTTCATTCCAAGAATTTTGAAATCTTTAAAAAATTCTTAAAATCCGCAAAATTTTGAAAATTCTTGGTTATGTAAAAATCTTGGAAAATTTCGGAATTTTTTCAAGAATTTTCAAAATTTTGTGGATTTTGAGAATTTTTGAAACATTAAATGTTTCAAAAATTCCAAGAAACTTATATGCAAATAATTTTGAAAATTTGAAAAAATTCTCAAAATCCATAAAATTTTGAAACTTCTTGGTTATGAAAAATCTTAAAAAATTTCGGAAATGTTTCAAAAATTATAAAAATTTTCAATTACAATAATTTTAAAAAATTCTCAAAATCCACCCTTTTAAAATTCTTGGTTATGTCAATCTTGGAAAAATTTCGTAATTTTTTTAAGAATTTTTCTTAATATTTTAATTTTGGGAAATACATAAAAATTTCTAAAAAAAAATCAATTTTAATAATTTTGATAATTTCAAAAAATTCTTAAAATTTGACATGACCTTAAATTATTGACACTAGTGTCGTTTTTATGACACTTTTTCACGATAAAAAAATACTCAAAGCTGTTGACCACCCTGTATATTTTCAATAATATTATACAGTGTGAATGCGTCAAGACTGAATTGTGAAATGATTTTTAAATGTTGCTGTTACCTTTTACTTTTGTCATGCAATAATTATAATAGTAATAAATATTAATCGTTGGATATACCAAATTTTATAAAATCTTCTACAGGGTGTATCGAAAATGTACTTGAAAATTATGTTCATTATTTCTACCATATTAACCAAATATTTAAGTGAAAAATACATTCCCAGTGCTTTTTTACTGCTGGTTTGTAATAATTTTTTTTACCAATAATTTTGTTGTATGTTATAAGATTGTTGAAATTTTAATGTTATATAAGTCGGGATCATAATGGATTATTTTTAAGATATATTTATTTATTACGCAGCTATATAAATTTTTTCAAGTGAAAGTCAAATTTTTGTATATCTTATTTATTATATTAACAATATTTAATAAAATTTTATAAATGATATACGTCTGTTATTTACTTACAAAAACTAAATATTACACATATCGTCGTTTAAATTAACCTAACACAAAACATTTAAGTATATATGAGTAAATTATGATATTTTAATTAATTTATTAATCTGGTGTAGCCTTAAAATGGTCGTCATCGATGGTTGAAAAAATGTATCCTTCGTTCATTAAATAATCCATGGCTTCACTAAAAATAATAAAATTATTGTTATATTTTAATATACAAGGTGTTCCTGAAATGCCTGCAGCGTTAAAGAACGTCATAAACACATTCAGAGTCTTAAAAACACATTTTTGAATGTCAAAAACACAATTAAGAATATTATTGTGATTTTTATAAAATGGCGCCCAACTTTTTAATGTTTTATTAAATATTTCATAACTTTGTTAATTTTTGTTTGATTTCTATGACTTTTGGTGTGTATGATATTTTGAATGACATTGTCAGTTTTAGCATGGTCTTTTGTTTTCGAGTAAATAAACGAAAAGAACGTTGTAACTCTTTAAATTTTTTTATAATTTATGAACTTTTCCTTTTTTTAATGTGTTGTTTATTTAAACATGACTAAATTTTTCTGTAAAAAATAAAAAATGGCCAACTGAAAAACTAATGTTTTTTCCTGAAAAACTGAAAAATTTCTTATAAATTATAAGAAGAAAGTTTAAAAACGAAAAATTTGAAAACAAAAAGTTCTGGATCAGTCAGTTTAAAAAAAGTTATAAGCCAAAGAAAAAAATCACAGAAACGTTTTTAATAGCAACGTTAAAGAACGTCAAAAACACATTCAGAGTGTTAAAAACACATTTTTGAATGTCAAAAACACAATTAAGAATGTTATTGCGATTTTTATAAAATGGCGCCCAACTTTTCAATGTTTTATTAAATCTTTTATAACTTTGTTAAATTTTGTTTGATTTCTATAATTTTTGGTGTGTATAATAAACAAAGTGCGTTATTTTGAATGAAATTGTCAGTTTTAGCGTAGTCTTTTGTTTTCGAGTAAATAAACGAAACGAACGTTGTAACTCTTTAAATTTTTTTATAATTTATGAACTTTTCCTTTTTTTAATGTGTTTTTTATTTAATCATGACTAAATTTTTCTGTAAAAAAATAAAAAATGGCGAACTGAAAACTGAAAATTTTCATATAAACTATAAGGAGAAAGCTTAAAAACGAAAAATTTTAAAATAAAAATTTCTGGATTAGTCAGTTTTAAAAAAGTTATGAGCAAAAGAAAAAATCACAGAAACTTTTTTAGTAGCAACGTTAAAGAACGTCAAAAACACATTCAGAGTGTTAAAAACACATTTCTGAATGTCAAAAACACAATTAAGAATGTTATTGCAATTTTTATAAAATGGCGCCCAACTTTTCAATGTTTTATTAAATCTTTTATAACTTTGTTAATTTTTGTTTGATTTTAATGATTTTTGGTGTGTATAATTAACAAAGTGCATTATTTTGAATGATTTTGTCAGTTTTAGTGTACAGTCTTTTGTTTTTGCATAAATCACCAAAATGAAAAAAGTAATTATAATTTTTAAACTCACCTAAATTCTTTATGTTGATTTACAGGAAAATGTGCCAAAATTTCCCTTCTTGTCATACCAATGATACTTTTATCAATTTTCAACAAAGTCTGAATTTTTTGCTGTACATGTGTAAAAGTAACATCTGAAGTACTTTGATCCATAAAAGACATGGAATTAGCCAATGCAGCACCAGGATTGTTAACTTTATATTTACTTCCCTAAAAAAAAATTAATACTCATCGAATAAAAAAAAATATATATATTTTACCACATTCTTTGACATATCCTCAGCCTCCAACCTAGCTTTAATAGCACTTAATAAATGCGTAGTCACAACATTACAATCCTCAACAGAATACATCTGTAGAACCATAAGATTTTTTTCACCGTTTTGGTTACGCAGTATACCAAAACACTGCACATAACCTCCAACTTTAACGTTTGGTAAATTGGGGGTCGCGTTGTCATCATTTTCAAGCCAAAAAACACATTTTATTCCACCTGTGTGATCCTCAACTGTATATGTGGCTTTTGTTGATTGCACATCAATATTTCTTAAAATACCAACTATATTTAACTAAAATATTACAATAATTATACATTTAACTATATAATAGATGTTTTTATGTATTTACTATTTGTGCTGGTAACCCGAACAGTGTAAAATCATCATTGGGGTGATTTATTAATTGTCCTACAACAACGGGCACAACACTTTGCAGTCTTTTCTAAAATTTAATTACTGTTAAAAATATACAACAAAACACACCCACAATGTACCTCTTTTTTAGTTTGGGCATGATTTTCAACAGCGGTTTGTGAATTATTCAAAAAACCGTTCGTTTCATGAGTTTGCTCTGAAAAACACTCCAAATTTAGTAAATTATCATTATTATATTTAAATATATTACCGAAATCACTATTTTCCCACATTTTGCACCAATATTATTGTTTTTATAATATTAGTAAATAAACAACTGTATAGTATACAATAGTAAAAGATGCCAATATTTTAAGGTTATGCTGGGTGAACACTGTTGCCAATATGTTTTGCACTCTTTTGAAATATGAGATTTTTTCCTTAAAACGCCCAAATATATGAATAAATAATTCGATTATAGTTATTCTGTATAAAGGTAGTGCTTGTTTTTCAATAAATAACGTTGAAAAAACTATAAAAATGTTTGAATGTTTGCAACCATTCGGCAACGTCGCGTTGTCATAGGTTAGGTTTATTTATACCGGCGAAATAAATTTTTGGAAAAGGATTTTAAAATTTTAATACCCTATTTCATATTATCTACCTGTTTTTGGGATTTTCGAGGGATTAATTTTGGAGTGCATCTGTTTTCAAGGAATTTTATTATGTTGTTTTTAATCTCTTTAAGGCTTCTGAAATAATATTTTTGGTTTTGGTCGCATTTTTCGGCGTAAATTCACATATCAGAGTGCGTAAACATGCACTTGTTTACTATTTCGAAAAATAGCGGTTGGCCGTGTCCAAAATTGCACGCAGTGCAGCCAACGTGGCGTAACAAAAATAGACAAAAAATTACTTTTTGCGGGGATTATGGAAAATTGTATTGCCCCTCGCAAGCGAAAGGTGTTAAATCGGGTGCAAGAGGTTGTAAATCACCGTTTTACTGCCTGAAATACGTGCGAAATTGTTCAAATATAATGGCGTCAAGTTGGTAGTGGTGGCTTCGTGTAAATTCGCGGGTGCTCGTTTGGCGGTATTCAGTTGTGCGCATGTCCGACGCCAAAGACACCATTTTCTTCTCGAGAACCACTTCGCTTTCGCACTCATTCCGCCGTTGCTCCAGTTTATAAAACGTAGTAAATCAGTTAACAAAAGTCTAGTCAAGTCAGTTAAGGTTCTTTCATAATGAGTGCAGAAAGCGGTTGTGCTTCATTGAACATGGAAAAGAGTTCGGTTATCCTTTTGGATGTGGCCGGCACCACTACTTCAATCAACTTCGTAAAGGTGAGATTCCGCTTTTTTTACCGCACGTACGGGCTCTTTAACGCGTTTTTTGCGCTATTTTTTGCCAAACGACTCGCTATTAATTCATCGTAATGTGTTTTTGTTCGCGTAAAGTAGATTTTGAGCCGGTGGGCAATATTTGTTTCCCCGTAATGTCCGCTGTTTTAACGGTATTTTCAGCTATTTTACGGGCGATTTGTAGATGCGATTTTCGACATTTGCACGTGTTTTCGCCTAACAAAGCAAAGGTGGTCGTCCTTGGTCTCTGCAGGTAAAAATTCAGCCCTTGTTTCGTGCATTCACATCTTTGTCTGCTAGGTACAGTCGGCACAAAATTCGCTTCACCTCGCTGCATCGAGGAGCCGTTGTTGCAAATTTATTCAACCATTTTCGCAGACGATTATTTTCGCTTTTAAACTCCCGGCCCTTTAAATTTTTTTTAAATGTTTTTTGCATTTTTTTTAGTTTAAATTGGTTTAGCACAACTGTCAAAATACTAGAAGGTCATTTCGTCTTTTGTTTATGTCAAATGTTTCTTGATTGACATTTTTAATACAAATCTTTTTAATTTTAACCTAATTAAGCTATTTTGTTTTATATTTTTAACATTTAAATATGTAAATCGCCTTTTAAAGTCATTTCAGATTATTTTATTTTATGTCAGATTTTTTATTGATGATTAATTTTCACACTGATTTATAATTTTGTGTTTAAAAATGCAATTAACACAGGTCAAAATCTCCAAATTCAATTTTGTTTTTTTAGTATATCCATTCTCATTATCAATTGCCCAGTCTTTAATAATTTTATGATTTTATATTACATCTTCATTGTATAATCAAAACTGGAGAATTCTTCAAAACAATCAGTTTTTTCTGTAATTATAACTAAATCTTAAATATATTTAAGATTGTTGTATACAAAGGTTTATGACAAATTTACATTTTAATCAATATTCTTGTAATTTTTTTTTTGCATAATTTACAGGGTGCCCCTAAAATGGCGCACCTACGGTAGGTATTAAGTAAAAAAACTACAAAAAAGTTGTGTGACAAGTAGATTTTGACTTATAAGGGTTTAAAAATAGAATTTACTTTTATTTTTAAAGAATAGGTGTTTGTTTCATTATAAGTTTCAAAAATGAAAAAACAAAATTTGTTATTAATAACAAAGTTATGGCATTAATTGTACATTTTTTACATATAATAATAATATATAATTTTTAAATGTTGATTTTTTTGTTATTAAATGCATCTGTCAACCATATCAGCTGTCTTCTTTTTATTGTTACCATGGCAACCGTTTTTAGATGTATAATATTTCAGCCCATTGAAGATACAGTGTTGCCAAGTTTTTCTTAAATGTTGGTATTTTGGCAACATTTTTTAAATCCCTTTAACTCGTTAAATCTTTGTTATTAAAAAACATCATTTTTATTTTTATTTCATTGTATTCTTATCCATTTAATTGATCTTTAAACCTAATTAATTATTGCGGTGAATGACCTTAATGTCTGGATAATTAATAAAATTAATTTATACATTATTTTGGATAATTTCGGTATTGTATGGAACATACAGGGTGAGTTTTAAGTTGACGCGTGTAGAAATCAGATAAACAAATAAATATTTTAAGTAACTTATTTATCAAAACTCAAAAATGAGAGAGTTATAGGCCTTCCAAGTTTAATTAAATTTTTGAGCCGGTCCTGGCTATTGTTAACTAAAAACATAACCATAAAAATAAAAATAACAAAATAAACAATGCAAAATGTCATCTATGACAACAAACATAACCATTTAAATCAAAATGACATTTAGCAATGAAAAATGTCAGTTTTTTTGTGCCTCAATGGGGTAGTTAAATTTTTTCTGACCTATACTTTTTATGATTTTATTCAATGCGTTTTGTAATTTTAAACATTTTGTGAAATCGGAATTTCAATTGAGTTTACCGTTTTCGAGATATTTACAAAACAAAATCTCCTAATTACGTCACTAGGCTATTGACAACGTTGCCAGCTTTTTCTATAGTTGCCAGTGTGTTTGGTTTAAGATTCTTGCGATAGATGGCGCCACGTTATAATATTTAAGTTGAGAAGAAGAAGAAGAATTGATTTTTGGACGTTTCTTTTTTTCGGGTTGTTTTTTTTAAATTTAGATTATTGAAAATCATTGTTATTGCTATGTTATTTGTAATTGATATTAGATAAGTGATTTATTAATAACGGACTCCAAAGCAGAGGAATCTTGTGGAATGGTTGGTTACATTGAACATTGGAGCTTTTAAACAAATAAAGTAAGTACCTATAATTATAATCATATTTTGTCGTAAATGCATTTCATTAGTATAATGCCTAGTTCTTTATATTCTTTTAGATATATTATTATTTTTTGTAAATTTATTTCATTCATTTTCAGCTTTATTTTGCCACTTTTTTCTATGAAATATATTAAACTCGGCTTTAGACAGTTATTAGGTACCTATTTATTACATTTTATTAGTTTTCACACGGTGTTTCAATGTGTAAACCTATCAATAAAACTTTTAATTTCAGAATTTTCTTTAACCTCCTCTTCTTCTTCTTTCACTCAACTGACAGTGACAGTATTTGTACATAACCCCTTCGGGTATTTTCTGACATAACCGAATGAAATCATTAACAAGACAACTTGACAACAGGGTAATTTTCAACCAATAGAAATCTTAGAATGTTGGTCACATGGCGGGGTTTGTGACGTCATAAAAATTTATATTTTTTGTAAATATCTCGAAAACGGTAAACTCAATTGAAATTCTGATTTCACAGAAATGTTTAATATTACAAAACGCCTTGAATAAAACCATAAAAAGTATAGGTCAGAAAAAATTTAACTACCCCATTATTGTTAAAAATGGTTCATAATTATAGCAATAATGAATTAGTGGAAATGTTACTAATTTATGGAGAGTGTCGTCAAAATGCAAATGCTGCAACTTAAGTAAATAATGACATTTTTTTATTGCAAAATGTCAATTTGATTTAAATGGTTATGTTTGTTGTCAAATATGACATTTTGCATTGTTTATTTTGATATTTTTATGGTTATGTTTTTCGTTAACAATAGCCAGGACCGGCTTAATTAAATTAAAATTTGATGGGCTATAACTTTTTTATTTTTGAGTTTTTATAAAAAAGTTAATTAAAATATTTATTTGTCTAGCTGATTTCTAAACACTGTTAAAAGGATGTATGTATGTATAGAAAATCGTCAAAAATAGAATTACTTTACTGTGTTGCCAAATTTAGCAAAAAATAATTTTTTGACAGGATGTGCTTTTCAAATACGTCACCGACAACGTGGCCGAGTACTTGAAAGAAAAATGGGACGAGGAGTCTGTCAAAGAGGCTGTCAAAAAAATCAAAGACGAAGATTTGGAACTCGAAGCGGCCGTCAAAGCTGTCAAAGAAATGACAGATGGCAACACCTCCAACCACGGTGTCAAAACCATCCAGACCATGATGTACGAAAAGGGGTACGAAAATGGTGGCATCAAAACACAGTAAGTTTTTTTTAACCTCAAAATTTTAAATGTCAAATATTTTAACCTTCAAATGTTTTGTTAAAAAATGTCAAAAATACAGTATAACAAAATAATTTTACAACAGCGTTGCCATTTTTATTTTTTGTAGCATGTTTTTCAATTTTGTATTTTTCTCAATTGAAGTTTCAAAATCTCCAAAATCATTGTTATTTTTATAAAAATCAACTTCATTTACATGATTTTCTTCAATTTCCACCACTTTTTCATAATCATCAAGTTTTATTATTAAAACTGGTGAATAACTCCAATTTCATCTTCATTTTTATGGTTTTTTTTTTTCAAGTATCTCCAGTCTCATTATCAATTGTATCATCTGCATCATCAAAACTATAAAGTTCTTTAAAATTATCAAGTTTTCTGCAATTGTATCTAAATCTTCTTTGATATTATATTTTACTTCTTCATTATTAACAATGTTTTTCAATTTTTTATTTTTATCAATTGAAGTTTTAAAATCTCCAAAATCATCGTTATTTTCATCAAAATCAACTCCATTGACATGATCTTCTTCAATTTCCACCACTTTTTCATAACCAAGTTTTGTTACTATCACTGGTCAAAAACTCAAATTTCATCTTCATTTTTCTGTTTTTCTTTAAGTATCTCCAGTCTCATTATCAATTGTAAAATCTTCAATAATTTCATGATTAGTTAATATTTTATCTTCATTTGTATCATCTGCATCATCAAAACTAGAAATTTTTCTTCTTTATTATTAGCAATGTTTTTCAATTTTGTATTTTTCTCAATTGAAGTTTCAAAATCTCCAAAATCATCGTTATTTTTATCAAAATCAACTCCATTGACATGATTTTCTTTAATTTCCACCACTTTTTCATAATCATTAAGTTTTGTTATTAAAACTGGTCAAAAACTCCAATTTCATCTTCATTTTTACGTTTTTCTTCAAGTAGGTATCTCCAGTCTTATTATCATTTGTATCATCTATATCATTAAAACTAGAAAATTCTTTAAAATTATCAGGTTTTTCTGCAACAGTATCTAAATCTTTGATATCATATTTTTCTTCTTCATTATTAATAATGTTTTTCAATTTTGTATTTTTTTGAATTTAAGTTTCAAAATCTTCAGAATCATCGTTATTTTCATCAAAATCAACTCCATTGACATGATTGTCTTCAATTTCCACCACTTTTTCATAATCACCTTCAAGTTTTGTTATTAACACTGGTGAAAAACTCCAATTTCATCTTCATTTTTACGTTTTTCTTGAAGTATCTCCAGTCTCATTATCAAATGTACAATCTTCAATAATTTCATGATTGGTTAATATTTTATCTTCATCTGCATCATCAAAACTAGAAAGTTCTTTAAAATTAACAGGTTTTTCTGCAATCGTATCTAAATCTTCTTTGATATTATATTTTTCTTCATTATCAATAATGTTTTTCAATTTTGTATTTTCTTCAACTGAAGTTTCAAAATCTTTAAAATCATCGTTATTTTCATCAAAATCAACTCCATTGCTCAAAATCTTCAATTTTATCTTCATTTTTATGTTTTTCTTCGAGTATCTCCAGTCTCATTATCAATTGAACAATCTTCAATAATTTCATAATTGGTTAATATTTTATCTTCATTTGTATCATCTGCATCATCAAAACTAGAAAATTCTTTAAAATTATCAGGTTTTTCAGAAATTGTATTTAAATCTTCTTTGATTTCATATTTTTTTTCTTTATTATTAACAATGTTTTACAATTTTGTATTTTTCTTAATTAGCTTCAAAATCTCCAAAATATTAAATTTTACAACAGCGTTGCCATTTTTTCTTTTTTCAGCATTTTTGACGAGGTGGCTTCCTGCGTGGAAACCTGGTCGAAAACGCACAAGCTGGCAACGTACTCTGTCGGCACCTGCGCCGCCCAGAAGCTTTTGTTTTCTCACACCGTCAGTGGCGACCTAACCTCGTTCATCGCGAACTATTTCGACCAGTCCGTCGTGGGCGAGAAGACCAAGAAGGAGTCGTACGAAAAGATCGCCAAGGAGTTGGAGGTTAAATGCGAGGAGATCGTTTTCGTCAGCGACAACGTCGACGAGGTAAAGGCGGCCAAAGAGGCCGGCCTCGTTGCCGCCGTCATCGAGAGAGACGGCAACGCAGCGCTCAGCGACGAGGTCAAGAAGGAGCAGGTGGTTTTGACTTCCTTCAAGGATTTGACGTTCGAAAATCCCGCCAAGAGAAAAATCGAAGACGAACCGGCCGCTTCAGAGGTACGCAAAAAAAATAAAATTATGTAAATTAAAAATGACGATTTTTTGTTTTTTTGTCTTTAACTCCGGTCAAAATCTCCAAATTCATCTTCATTTTTTTCCAGCTTTTTCGAGTATCTTCATTTGTATCATCTGCATCACCAAAACTAGATAATTCTTTAAAATTATCAGTTTTTTCTGCATTTGTATCTAAATCTTCTTTGATATCATGTTTCTTCTCCATTATCAACAATGTTTTTCAATTTTGTATTTATCTCAATTGAAGTTTCAAAATCATCGTTATTTTCATCAAAATCAACTCCATTGGCATTATTTTCTTCAATTTCCACTACTTTTTCATAATCATCTTCATTTTGTTATTAACAATTTCATCTTCATTTTTATGTTTTTCTTCAAGTATCTCCAGTCTCATTATCAATTGTACAATCTTCAATAATTTCATGATTGGTTAATATTTTATCTTCATTTGTATCATCCGCATCATCAAAACTAGAAAATTCTTTAAAATTATCAGTTTTTTCTGCATTTGTATCTAAATCTTCTTTGATATCATGGTTCTTCTCCATTATCAACAATGTTTTTCAATTTTGTATTTATCTCAATTGAAGTTTCAAAATCATCGTTATTTTCATCAAAATCAACTCCATTGGCATTATTTTCTTCAATTTCCACTACTTTTTCATAATCATCTTCATTTTGTTATTAACAATTTCATCTTCATTTTTATGTTTTTCTTCAAGTATCTCCAGTCTCATTATCAATTGTACAATCTTCAATAATTTCATGATTGGTTAATATTTTATCTTCATTTGTATCATCCGCATCATCAAAACTAGAAAATTCTTTAAAATTATCAGTTTTTTCTGCATTTGTATATAAATCTTCTTTGATATCATGTTTCTTCTTCATTATCAACAATGTTTTTCAATTTTGTATTTATCTCAATTGAAGTTTCAAAATCATCGTTATTTTCATCAAAATCAACTCCATTGACATGATTTTCTTCAATTTCACAACTTTTTTGTAATCATCTTGAAAAAAACTCCAATTTCATCTTTATTTTTACGTTTTTCTTCAAGTATCTTCAGTCTCATCAATTGTTCAATAATTTCATGATTGGTTAATATTTTGTATCATCAAAACTAGAAAATTCTTTAAAATTATTAGGTTTTTCAGTAATTGTTTCTAAATCTTCTTTGATATCATATTTTTCTTCATTATCAACAATGATTTTTAATTTTGTATTTTCCTCAATTGGAGTTTTAAAATCTCCAAAATCATCATTATTTTCATCAAAATCAACTCCATTCGCATTATTTTCTTCAATTTCCACCACTTTTTCATAATCATCTTCGTTTTGTTATTAACAATGGTCAAAAACTCCAATTTCATCTTCATTTTTACGTTTTTCTTTAAGTATCTCCAGTCTCATTATCAAATGTACAATCTTCAATAATTTCATGATTGGTTAATATTTTATCTTCATTTGTATTATCTGCATCATCAAAACTAGAATTTTTTTTAAATTATCAGTTTTTCCTGCCATTTTATCTAAATCTTCTTCATTATAAACAATGTTTTCCTTTTTTATATTTTCTTCAATTTCCACATATTCAAATTTTGCATTATACTTTTTTTACTTCGTTTTTATAAATCCTTTAAAATTTCTATTTGACTATTGTTTAAATCATATTTTATTGTTAATGTTTTTTGCAATAAATATGACCTTCATGTGGCGTTTATTCGTTTGTTTATATCTTCTCTTATTTTTTGCCCAGGCTCCTCCCACAAAAGTGGCAAAGACCGAAACCGCTGAGGAAAAAATCGAAGCCGAACAGAAGGTGGAAAAAGAAAACGTAGAGAAAAAAGCAGCCGAAAAGAAGGAAGAAGTGGAATCGATGGAAGTCGATTCTGCAACCGAAACACCAGAAACGAAGAAAAAAGAAGGTAGGTTCAGTTTATTTTATTTATTTTTCCTACGGTTTTTATAAGTATTGGAAATTATTGGTTTTATCTATTTTTACTAGATAAATCAATTCGTGACATTTGACCTTAATTTTGATAATATATATACTTATATTTCTATAATTCTTCATTTCAGAAACGCCGGCAGCAACTGAAGAGAAACCGGCCGAAGCCGAAAAACCCGCCCCGAAGAAAGAAGAAGAAAAGAAGGAAAAAGAAGAAGAGAAGAAGGTAGCGGAAAAAGCCGACGACGAAAAGACTGAAGAGAAAAAAACCGAAGAAACGAAAAAAGCGGAAGAAAAGACTGAAGCGACCAAAACCGAAGAAACCGCCGCCACTGCCATGGAAACGGCCGAAATAGAGGAAACGAAGAAAGAAGAAGAAACAAAAAAAGAAGAAGCAAAAAAAACGGTGCCAGAAGAGAAGAAAGTAACGGAAGAAAAGAAAGTAGAAACTGAAGAAAAGAAAGTGGAAAAAGAAGAAAAGAAAGTGGAAAAAGAAGAAAAGAAAGTTGAAACAGAAGAGAAGAAAGTAGAAACGGAAGAGAAGAAAGTAGAAAAAGAAGAAAAGAAAGTGGAAAAAGAAGAAAAGAAAGTGGAAAAAGAAGAAAAGAAAGTGGAAACGGAAGAGAAGAAAGCAGAGGAAGTGGAAGTGGCGGAGGAAGCGAAGGAAGAGAAGAAAGAGGAAGAAGAGAAGAAAACCGAAGAAACGAAAGAAAACGGAACAAAAGCGGTTGAAGTTGAAGAAAAAGAGAATAAAAGTGAGCTGGCGAACGGGGTTGAAAACGGCAACGTCGCAGCTGAGGAGAAACAAAATGGGGAGGAGAAGAAGGAGGAAGAAGCAAAAAAAGAGGAGGAAAGTGAGATTAAAGTGAAGAAACTGGAGGAAGCAGTCGAAAGCACACCTGTCGCTGTGGAAGTTTAAAAAACACACTGCCCCCAGATGTATTTATATATTATACGTGTAACAGGTAGTGTTCATTTTTTTTTACTTTTTTAATTTATTACTTGAACCGTCGAGATCCGTCTGTCGCTTTTCGGTTGTTTTTTTACTACGACATAACCTTATTTTAACCTTAAAATAAGTCTGCTGCCCGGTTTGGTTTTTATTGTTTCGTTTCGACAACTGAATGTGATTCTATACTAATTAATAAATGTTCCTGTTTTTGTGAAATTTCGCGCATAATTTTTAACGTTGTGCCAAGGATTGAAAATTCATTTGAAAAGACTGCTGAAATCTGAAGACTGTTATAATATCTCATTTTTGCGACTTTCGACCCCAGTATTATACACTAAATTAAACCAAAAAAATACTCTCTCCTAAGTCTTAAGTCTTGTATGTGAAGTAGTGAGCTTTTAAAAATATTTTTACGTTTTTAACCGAACATTCCTTTTAAGTTGTGTACGTCTACTATTTTATTAGTTTTAAACATTTAAGTTCCACATTTCAGCTCATAAAATGTGATATTTCTAAATTGGGATGCTACAACTTTTTTCGATCAAACGAAAACGGTAAAATACGATAGATAAGTTGAAATTTTACTCTTGTGGACTTGTTGTTTATTTATTTTTTTATTATTTTGTATAATGCGCGGCAACACTGTACGGCCGCCATCATTGTATACGTTAATTAGCACATAATAAATTTTGTAGTGTTCTACAACGGAATTTTATTTATTTTTGCATTTTTATCCACCACAAAAATTTCAAGTTTAACAAATAAGGTAAGTATTATTTATATTCACAGTTTAAATGCATTTTAATTAAATAGTTTATATGGAGGGGTAAAATTTGTTGGGACAAAGAATAAAAATATATTTTTTAATTACAACAGATTTTTTATTATTTGTTATTTTTTAACTGTCATTAAATGTCAAAAATGACGGTTTTCAAAAATGACTGTTGTCAAACATGTAAAAAATACGGGTGTCAAATTGACAGCTGTCACATGGGTGTCAAAAATTACAGAAAACAACCAAAATTCGAACAAAACTGATTTATTTTTATTATTTTATATCTTTTAACTGTCATTAGATGTCAAAAATGATGGTTTTTTAAAACGACAGTTGTCAAAAAGATGTAAAAAAATTATTGACAGCTGTCACTCAGGTGTCAAAAATTATAGAAAACTACCAAAATTCGAACAAAATTAATTTAAACAAATTAATTGAAAATTGGCAATTTTTATAATTTCCAAAATTGATTTATTATTATTATTACTATTTGACAGCCATTTCAAAATTACGTCAAACATGTTAAAAATTAGAGGTGTCAAATTGACAGCTGTCACATGGGTGTCAAAAATTACAGAATACTACCAAAATTCGAACAAAATTGAAAACTGCCCTACATTTTAATTAATTTAAACAAATTACCAATTTTCTATAAATTTTATAATTTCCAAAATTGATTTATTATTAGATATTATTATTTGACAACCATTACATAAAAAACTACGAATTTCAAAATGACAGTTGACAAACATGTAAAAAATACAGGTGTCAAATTGACAGCTGTCACATGGGTGTCAAAAAATACAGAATACTACCAAAATTGAAAACTGCCTCTACATTTTAATTAATTTAAACAAATTACCTGAAAATTACGAATTTTCTATAAATTTAATAATTTCCATAATTGATGTATTATTAGATATTATTATTTGACAGCCATTACATAAAAAATTACGATTTTCAAAATGACAGTTGACAAACATGTAAAAAATACAGGTGTCAAATTGACAGCTGTCACATGGGTGTCAAAAATTACAGAACTCTACCAAAATTGAAAACTGCCCCTAAATTTTAATTAATTTAAATAAATTAAGTGAAAATTACCAATTTTCTATAAATTTTATAATTTTCAAAATTGAATTATTATTATTTGACAGCTTTAACATAAAAAATCACGATTTTTAAAATGACAGTTGTCAAAATTCTGTCATTATATGTCAAAAATGTCGGTTTTTAAAAACGACAGGTGTCAAATTGACAGCTGTCACATAGGTGTCAAAAATTACAGAATTTCCATAATTTTTTTAATTTCGATAATTAATTTAATATTTTATTATTTTACAGTTGTAAAAAACTACCCAAATTCGAACAAAATTGGATAAATGAAAACGGTTAATTTAAAATAACCAAATTCACAAAACTTAATTTTTTTTTATTATTTTTAAAATTAATTTATTATTATTTAAAATGAGAGGTGTCAAAAAATGTAAGGATATGAAAAATTACATAATAAAACCCCAATTCGAACAGAATTGGATACATGAAAACTGCCCTTATATTTATTTAAAAACGGTTAATTTAAAATAACCAAATTCACAAAACTTTAAAATTGATTTATTTCAAATAATAATACTGCCATTAAATGGTATAATTTTAGAAATTTTTAATATTGATTTATTATTATTATTTGACATCTTATAAATGACATTAGATCTCAACAATTACAGATTTCTAAATGACAGGTGTCAAAAATGACGATATCGCAATGACAGGTGTCAAAAATTATAGGAAACTGCCCAAATTTAAACAAAAATTACATAAAACAACCCAAATTTGACAAAATTTGACAATTGAAAACTCCCCTGACATTCAAACTAAACAAAATAAAACTTGATGATTATCGATTAAATAAATAAAATGTGAATAATACCGTGCTCTTATTGGTTTATTGCTTCCTATTGATATTATTTTCTACAGAAATAGACGATAATTTTGAAGTTTTGTCAGCTGAGTGATAAATTGTAATACATTTAGGACATAAAAGAAAATTTATGTATCTCAAAAGATACATTTTATTTCTTTATTTATCTTATCGGAAAAGTTATTCATAATTTAACAATGCATATGCATAATTATTAATGTATTTGTGGGTCAAAAAAATAAAATTCAGTTACCCCACAAAATTGATTCGTATTATACCTGTTAATTTGTATTTATCTAACAAAGACCTTGGTACACAATATTGCAACTTTAAAAACATCGTATTGTTTTTTTTTATATTATCAACGAACCGTTTTGCCGCAGAATGAGCGTAAAAAATAGCAAAATTAAATTCGAATTATTTTTACCACTAATTTGTTTGCTTATGTCGACAGTTTTTTGTCAAGATTGCAAAATGTATGGTCAAATCGTAAGTAAATAATTGTTTAAATAGTTAAAAAATATTCGTTGATTTATTTTAGTGCATAGACGAAAAAGATTGCTGTGGTGGATGTTGCGATAATAATATTTGTATTGACAGTAAGTATCGTTTTTAATAATTATTTTCCTAAAAAAACTAATAAACGATAATTAGCCTTAATTAAGCATTAAATACAAACTGTATCGCATAGAAATTACAATTTACTGGTAAAATATATTTTTCTAAACATGTATTTTATCAGAAAAGATTTTTTAATTTTGCTATTCAAATTATTGTCCCAATTTCAAGACAACTAAAATTGACACGAGTTTATATTTTGTGGATAATCTTGTAAAATTAGTACTGGGACATATAAAGATATTTACATTATTTTAAAGAGGATGAAATTGTCTAACATTTGATATAATAATTTTTTTAATTGGATTAAAAATAACAAAACTACAGACTGTCAAAGTTGGTCCGAATTTTAAGGAAACTAAAATTGACATAACTTTGTATTTTGTGGATTATCTTCAAAAATTACTACTGGTGCTTATAAAGATATTTACATTTTCCTAAAGTTGATGAAATTATCTAACATTTGATGTAATTATTTTTTAAATTGGTTTAAAAATAACAGAACCACAGACTGTCAAAATAATTTTAGCTTATAGAGACTGTAAAATTCGGGATGACCCCTGTTTGAAGACCGTTTGCCCGGAAGATATGAACTGCGAGATTTTTCAACCGGAATATTGCCCAGGGTGTGATATACAAACCGTCTGTGTACCGGCAGAACCTGCCCCACCATTACACCACTCATTGGAAGACGAAGAACATTTTCACCATGGTTCATGTGAAAGTAAAAAAATAAGTTTTGTTTTTGTTTACTGTTTTTTGTTTTATTTTGTTTATTTGGTTGTTTCTTAGATATTTATTTGTGTGATAAATGAGTGACCCTGTACATACTGCTATTAATAGTAAATTTACTGTGATTTTTGTTTGTTATGTAATAATTTTTTTTGTAATAAAAACAATAGTTTTGCCATCTCCATAATAAAATAAAAAATAATTCCGACTTTGGTTTTATATTTCAGGTTATTTTTAGGGTTTTTATTATGTTTTTGTAGATTTCCTTTGATAATTAGTTTTGTTTTTTAAGTATACAAAACTTTTGTAACTATAGAATCTGATCTTGATATATGTAGGTAGGCAACTAACTTTGCACTAGTAGTCTGCTAAAAGCATATTTTAGATTGTATAATGGCTTCTTTATGACAGCGATAATTTGGCAACGTCGTATTTCTACCACGATAGCCCAAAGGTTTTTATCATAGACATACTAATATGTAGATGGTTTTTTGTTTTTTGTTGTATGGATGAATATAATATTATTTAGATGTCCCCCAAGTGAAAATGATTATTTTTTATTTTGGGTTGTTTCACTGTTAGTCTAGAATGGGGTTTTTGGGAAGCCACCAGGTCTAGTAATAACATAACATAAGTGATTCTGCACTAATGCAAGCATTTTAAGAAATCATACATTTTGAATATTACAGCTTCACGGAGGTTAGGAGTTTGTATGTTTTTGACACCTTAATATTTTTTAAAAATACAATTGTATATACATAAAAAATTTATAAAAAAATCTACTTTCTGAGATATTACACTTCACGGTGGATATGTTTTAAATAGCAAATTAATGAACTTAAACTTTTGAATTATAAAACAGCAACACTCTCATCTGCATATATACAGAGGTTTTTGCTTATTTAAAATGATTAAAGCGCCATCCGTTGCATAAAGTTTAAGGCAAAAACAGATTCACGGAGGATAGAATCAATTTTTGTAACACCTACATAAATGGTTATAAAAATTATTTCTTTTAATTTTTAATAATATTTTATATTTGATTCGATTGCTTTGGATGTGTTTAATTTACTTAGTGAACTGATATTTTAGTATGCTTTTACTACCTCAGATATTTGAAAACATATAGGTTAACCTAGAAAGAGTAACAGTCACGGAGGATAGGTTTTAGACTTTTAAAACTTTGTAAAACATAATTGCGGTTAAAAATCTGGAAGCTGAGCTGTAATATCTACTTAATTATGAAAGATCAAAACACAATAAAAGTGTAGGTCAAACTCATTTAGTTTTATTAAATAATATTATCACGGGGTATCACCATCGGGGCACATACTTCCACACAGTATGTGCATCGGGGGACATATAGCGACCTCTATTAGTGAGTAGGAAAAGGAAATGTTTGTTTTACAGTAAATTTTGTAATTTTTGACAGAATTGGGGAATGCTTTTCTATAAAAATCACATTTATTTTTTAAGATTCAAAAGTCGGTAAAATCACAAAAAAGTCCTCATTGGCTACGCTTCTGCAGATACATTTTTTTCTTTGGAAGGCAGAATCGCTGTTTTTGTCCTCTATTTATAATCACCATTAAAGTTGAATGAAAAATTTGTTCATAAAGAGAGCAACTCCATGACAGTGTAATCAAATATATACTGTCGACGGATAGCTCTCTTCATTTTCAAATTTTTTTTACGAAGAAAACTTTCCTTCCAGTTGACTTTTGCACCACTCAAACAAACACCTAAAACGAAAAAGTTTTAATTTTAATAGACAAAAAAAACATAACTTAAGTACAAGCTACAATTTTGACTGAATTTACTATATCTAATTTGTAGGTAGGTGCCTATAGACCCGTATAATTATCACCTAATTTCACCTGCAGTCACTTTGTTAAACTAAACAATTAACATCAATTTATTTTCAATGTGTTTTTAACCCAAAGACACAATTTTTCAATAAAGCATTATTAATAAATTAATTTTTTTAATATTATTTTTGCATATAATTTTTCTTTTAATACATGATAGGTAGTTAAAATATCTTTAATTAAATATTGGCCTGTCAACTTAATTTAAATATTCAATCAATTTTAATTATTATTAATGAAATAAATATTAACTTAATTTTAATAATGTGGCATTTTTCCCTAATTTAATCATATATACCGACAAAATATTTAACAAAATCACTTTTAATAATAAAACTTGAAAGCTTTAAATAAATAAAGTGTCATGAAAATATGACGCCATTAGAGTGTTTTCGCTTTAATAAAATAATATTTAATTAGTTTATGGAATAATGAATAATGAGACTGAATAAATATATTTGTTTTGGCTTATCAAAAAATTAGGCAAGAATTTTATTTATGGCGTTTTCCAGAAAACTATTGCACCTGTAATCAAAATAAGTTTACTTACATGGTAAAAATAGACTTTACTTTATTTGAACATTGATAAAATTATAGACATCTTGCGAAAGCATCCATGAAGAGTATAAGAAAATAAATTATTAAAATGTCTGCTTACTTTAAAAATGAGATACCCAGAAAAAAATTGAATCAAATATACAGGGTGCTCGGAAATTAAGAAAATATAAAAATGCTTCAAAAATCATTCTTCATAAAAACTCCCGATTGTTTAAAAGTTGAGATTTCCATGAAAAAAAAATTAATAAAAATGTACGGGGTGCTCAGAAATTAGGAAAACATGAAATTGCTTCAAGAGATATTTTATTTTGCAGAAAAAAATTGTAAATATTTTTATCTCCACGCGGTCTATAATTTAAAGTTTATTGTTATCAACGATAAAGAAATACGGCCTAGGCCGATAAAAATTTTTATGAGGCAAGTAATTAGTTCGATTTTTTCTCGCTAGGGGTATTGTCCTTTTCTAAGAAATTAACGTACTAAACTGGTTTAATTTATTTATAATAAGCACTAATTTGTTTGTTTTACTGTAATGTTTAATATTTTTCATTAAATTATTGTAAAATTAAATATGAATAATAAAACAAAAAGTGAGGTTAGGCAACCAAGAAAACGCACGATTCTTTTTCTACGATTTAAATTATCTTTTAGTTTTAATTTGCTTTAAGTTTTCAGGGAAATTAAATATTAAACACAGCTTAAACATTCCAAACTTATTAACCTATTTTTTTAATAAAAATCCAAATTGAAATTAGATACCTACATATTTATTAAACAATTAATTGAATTCAATGTAATAGCAAAAATCCATTTCCACTTAAATCACGTTGCTAGGTATTGTCAAACTATTACTGCTTCTAAAAGCAATAATAATTATTGTACATTTAATGTAATCTTTAGCTAATAAATAAATAAGATTCTAAAAAAGTGAGGTTAGGCCGCTTTGATGTTGAATTAAATTGACCTATATAAAGTGCTTTGAAGATAAAATGTATGCCATTCGGCCAAGAAGTGCCTTTTTATGCTTCGCTCAATTGTAGGCTTCCGCTACGCGTCGGCCTTCAAACCTTGAGCTTAGCACAAAAAGCCTTACTTCTTAACCTAATGACATAAATAACTATTATTATTATTATCTACCATTTATTTTAATGAAATTATAAATTTCTGTGCACCATTTACATTTATTTCAAATTTATTTTGTTGAAATCTCATTTTTTAAACAATAATAATAATTGTATAGAGAATGTTTTTATTTTGTGAAAGGAATAATAATAAAAAAGTTTTTAAACCCAATTCAATTTTTGTAAATTAACAATGCCTTTTTAAAGCATATAAATAACTTTTAAGATACACCCTGTCAGAGCTGCAAGCTCTCAGAAAACTTCAATCGTTTTTTTGATTTAAATCGTTTTAATGACTTAAGTCATTTGGTAATAAGTCATTTCTCTAAAACTGACTTAAGACTTAAAATTTAAGTAATTTTCAAAATGATTTGTAACTTAAATATTTTTTTTAAAATAGAAAAAACTTAAGTCATTAAATCAGTACATACGATTTAAGTCATATAGAAACGATTTAAGTCTTTATAAAAGTCGGTAAATTATTTAAGTAATTTAAAAAGATTTAAGTCTTTTTGAAAAAGATTTAAGTATTTTTAGAAAATATTTAAGTCAGATTTTTCATATATTTTTTTATAAATTTTTAACAGCGGCATTTTCTTTTGAACTGCCAGGGGTTCACGCGGCAGCAGATCAAAAACTCCTTTAATTTCCTACCTACAATTGCTACCGCTAGTGAATAAAAAAACCGCCGCGGTAAAGTTAGCTTTTTGGAACCGTTTGACGGCTACATTAAAAAATGTCCTGTCTAAAATAAATGAAAAAAAATGCGGATTTGTAATTTTGTTATTTTGTTTGCCAACATTCGTCGTGTTATGCGTGCGTTAGGTCTAATTTGTAACTTTTATCTATTTTAACAGAGTTTGAATCTATTACTGTTTAGAAGTTACCCATTTATGTATATAAAAAAGTAGCCTCCCTGTATGTACTCTACTAAAAAAGGCGGTTTAAGTTTTTATTTTGATTGTCTACTATATACTCAAAAAATGTGTTTTAAGTTTTTATTTTGTTTGTAAGTGTTCTGAAAATAAATCGTTTTAAATTCTTAACATAGTGGTTTATTATCATCTGTATCTACAATAGATTAATAATATCAGTATAATTAATACGATTATATTATTATTAACATTTAAAAAATCGTTGTATTGACTTAAGGGTAATTATTTTGATTTAAATCACAATTTTTGATTCAAGTCATTTTATTGACTTAACTCTTAGATCTCGATTTAAATAAAAAATATAGACTTAATTCATAAAAATGACTTACTGAAGGAATTAAGTCATAAGATGACTTAAATCACATTATATAGATTTAAGAATTTGCGAAAATGACTTGACTTCAAAGAAAATGATTTAATTCAAAGACTAATACTTAAATCATTTGAACTTTATCTTAGAATTGACTTAAGATTTAAATCATTTTGATTATAGAATTGACTTAAGACTTAAGATATAAGTCTTTTTAAAACTGACTTGTTGCAGGTCTGCACCCTGTACAATTATTAAATCACAAAACAAATGACTACCTACATAAAATTATTATTCTCGCAACACTTAAAATAATGTACTATTTAAACATTTAATTGTTCTAGAATTCTGTCTTTTCGTTGGAAAACCTATTAAATTTAATTTGAAGAATTAACGCTTTCACAAAAATTACCCTAATTTTAATCTTCTTACTGCTATACTATAGTCCTAAGTTAATATGTTTAGTATAGGAAAAGTAAACATTTCCACACAAAACGGGGTTACACGTTATCTCAGGTAAACAATGATAAAAGTTTATCAGGTGCATACACACCTAACTAACGCTTTAATAATGAAAAATTGTACAAAATTATGAAGAATTTGTATTAAGATTTTAAAGAAAATTATTATTATATGTGGCGATGAATCATGATACCCATGATCAAAATTGACATTCTTAACGTCAAATAGCTGTCAAATACAAATTTGTAAACGCTTGCTTGATTTTTTTGACGTAAAAGGTGTATTAATATTCTTACCACTTTGGTGCTGTTTTAAAACGTTTTTCTTAACTCTCTGGCGTTACCCCCTTGAAAACCGTTGTAGCACCTTAAAATTGTAACACACTTTTTAAATGACACGTATACCGATGGGAGTACCTTTATTTATAGGTGTTTTGTGACGTAGCCGGCTTATCGCTAAACCAACATAGTTATTATATTTTCTTTAGAGTCTATGTATGGTTGCTGTGTGTACTAAAAGGGGGGCTAGGGGGGTGAAAGATGTTAAGGCACTGAGTTTAATTGTTTCTGGATTATGGGGGCATTACTTGGATTAACTACCTAGACAAATTAATAAAATAATTAATTAATAAAAAATTATTTAAATAAATACATAAATAAAATTTTAAAATACTGTTTAATTTATTTTTTGGATTATCACTGATTTTTTTTTATATTATTTTATACCTATAAATAATTTTTTAAAGGATTTTTGCAATAAAAATTAAATTACTAAAAAAATAATTTTATTAAAATGCATTTTGAACTAGGTTCCAGATTTTTAACAGCAATTAATTATTTTTTACAATGTTTTAAAAGTCTAAAACCTATCCTCCGTGACTGTTACTAGAATCAAATATAAAATATTATTAAAAATTAAAAGTAATAATTTTTATAACAATTTATGTAGGTGTTGCAAAAATTGATTCTATCCTCCGTGAATCTGTTTTGCTTTAAATTGTATGCAACGGATGGCGCTTTAATCAATTTAAATAAGCAAAAACCTCTGTTTACCACATTATAGATGCATGTGATTCCTGAAGGTCAGTTAGAGTTTATATGCAGATGAGAGTGTTGCTGTTTTAAAAACCTATCCACCGTGAAGTGTAATATCTCAGTAAGTAGATTTTTTTATAAATATTTTATGTATTTTTAAAAAAAATTAGGGTGTCAAAAGATACAATAACTTATTTCAAATATACAAATGGATGTTTAAAAAAACATACGAAATCCTAACCTCCGTTAAGCTATCTTCCGTGAAGCTCTAAAATTCTTGCATTAGTGCAGAACCACTTATGTTATGTTATTACTAGACGTGGTGGCTTCCCAAAAACCCTTTATTATTACTAGACTAACAGTGAAACAACCAAAAATAAAAAATAATCATTTTCACTTGGGGACATCTCAATATATTCTCCCATACCTAAAGCTAATTTTTGGAGTTATTAATTTTTTTCGTTAAAATTTGACAAATGCGCATCTATCAAAAATAGCCTATATCTTTTTTGCTATTAGATTTGCAGAAATTCTTAAAATATTGTGTTAAAGATTCCATGTCAATTCTTTAACATTTGTCCACAAATTACCCAAGAAACCCCAGGGCAAAATGGGCTCACTTGAAACCTTAATAACTTTTTTATTTTAAATGTATATTTTTACATAATCAAATTGAAAATTAAAAAACATTTTGATTAATGTATCTATTCCCTATACCTAAATTTAATAGTTTCAGAGATATTTAGCAATAAAAAATTTGGTGAAAAACATTTTTGCTGAAATCTTAAAAAAACGCGGTTTAATTCAAAAATAATTAATTGATGTAAACCGATAAGGGTTACATAACCTCTGTCCTTATAAAGCACATTTAATTTAAATATTAATCAGTTGTACGAAATTATTCCATTCAGAAGCAATATATTCATGATATCAAACAGTTTGTCAATATTTAACCACAGAAATGTTGATCCAAAAAAATATGCGACTTTTGGCCAAATTTGAAAGTTTATTTCAAAGTAAGTTTTATATTATTTAAGTTATTTTTTTTAAATAATTTGGGTTAAATTGTTTCTTATATATATAGGTAAATTACACAATTACTTATTTGCTTTAAATGTTGTGTTGTCATTGTGCAATTATTTAAGTAGTTTAATATTTTGATAAATTTAAATAATAAATCTGTAATGTAACCTTGTTTTTATAAATAATAAGATAACTTAAGTTGTTTAAATAGTTGTTGAGGGATTAAATTTATAGTTTAATTAATTGTTTCTGGAAAAAACTTTTTTTTAAGAAAGAAATGCCAGTAAAATCTCTTTTATTGGCTTGGGCCAAATGGGGTCCAAGATGGCCCGAAACCTCATAAAAAAAGGCAACACTGTAAAAGTTTTTGACGTCATACCCGAGGCAAGAAACAGTATAGAGGGCGCGCAACCCTGCGACAGCCTTCAACAGGTGGTGGAAGGATGTGACGTCATAATTACAATGTTGCCAAACGGCAGGATAGTGAAGGAGATCACTTTAGGACAACGGGGAGTTTTGGAGCACTTGGAGAAGGGGGCTGTGCTTGTTGATTGCTCGACAATCGAGCATCAATGCGCTGTTGATGTCAACGAGGCAGTGTTAAAAAGGGGGGGCAAGTTTTTGGACGCCCCTGTATCAGGTATATCACATAAGTAACTGAGACCTTTTCGTGGGGTTATTGCCGCTTTAAAAAAAATACCATATTTTTGTCAATATTTGGGAATTATAATAAATACTTTTTAATAAATTGTATATAAAAAGCATTTAACAATAATTAACACACAAAATGATGATACACTCACAGGCAAAATAATCGATCCACACAAATTTTCAATGAATTTCAATCGCAAATAACTTTTTTATTTGATGTCGGATTTAAACGAATATTAAAGAAAATTGTGGATAAATTAATGGACAATCGCTAACATTTTAAAAAATTAATAAAAAATAGACGTACGTTTATAATGTACAGGTTTAAACAAAAAGATGTTTTTTTACCATAAGTTTAAGACACTCTGTAGAGTGGCAAAACCGTATATTGTTCTAAATTAAGTTTTATTTATCAAGTCACATCTATTCTTAACAGTTTTGTTTTTAATTCACCTCGATATATTTATTTTTGTGGAAAATATGGAACATTGCAATTTCCAATATTTTTCTGTATGAAGAACTAAGGTTGCTATGGTACATCCATAGGCTATGGAGAATGACAGTGACAGTTTTGTTGAATCATCCCATACTTGGACATGTCATACACGGCTTTCAAAAGCTATCAAATTGTTTTTTACAAATTAATGTTTAAATTTTGAGGTGTCTTCTTACTTTAAAAAAAGGATATGTCTCCGACTGATGTTGCCAGAGCCATTATTACGTGGCAAGTGTTTTAAACGTCACAAGAAGTAAAGTAAAACATTTTTAAAAGTGAGAAGACACCTCAAAATTAACACATTAATTGACAAAAAACAATTTGATAGCTTTTGAAAGCTGTATATGACATGTCCAAGTATGGGATGATTCAACAAAACTGTCACTGTCATCCTCCTTAGGCTATGGATGGACCATAGCAACCTTAGTTCTTTATACAGTAAAAATATTGGAAATTGCAATGTTTTTTTTTAAATCCATATTTTTCACAAAAAAAATATATCAAGGTGAACCAAAAACAAAACTGTTAAAAATAGATGTGACTTGATAATTAAAACACAATTTAGAACAATATACGGTTTTGCCACTCTACAGAGTGTCTAAAACTTATGGTAAAAAACATCTTTTTGTTTAAACCTGTATATTATAAACGTACGTGTATTTTTTAGTAATTTTTAAAATTTGAGCGATTCTCCATTAATGTATCTACAATATTCTTTAATATTTGTTTAAATCCGAAATCAAATAAAAAAGTTATTTGCGATTGAAATTCATCGAAAATTTGTGTGGATCGATTATTTTGCCTGTGAGTGTATTTTAGATTTTATAATGGCATGTTTATAACAGCGGGATTTGGCAACGTTGTATTTCTACCACGATAGCCAAAAGGTTTTTATCATAGACATAAGCAGCATTTTAAGTTTAAATAACTACAAATTTACTACTAAGTCAGCTTTAAAGTATTTTTTACGGTCAACCAAAATGGTTTTATAACGGTATAGATACGAAAAATTACCAAATTTGGGGAATGGTTTATTTCGTTATTTTACCTACATACATAATAACCTTTTTGATCTACTAAAAGAATAACGTAATAAAAACCATATAAATACCACAAATTTACGTAAAAATGACGCTATAATTACTAACTGTTTGCTCTCTCTTTCTAAAACATTGACATTCGTAATTTCTTTGTTCTTTTAATTTGTATTTTACAAAATGGTACTTGCAAAGTAATAAAGGCCACCCTAGAGTAAAATTTAAAAATATAACTTAAATTTTTTAAACTAATAATGTTTTGCATTAAAACTCAAACGCACAATATTTTATTGATAAAAATAGGCACGATATATCTTAAAAATTATATGCCCTCTAAATATTTTACGGTTTTAAGAAAAATTATTGCTTGGGTAAAAATTCAACAAAACTTAAAACCTACAAAATTTTATAAAATCTTTTAAAAATCATTTAGTTTTAATCATTTTTTAATAACTAAAACTTTCCTTCATATATTTTAGAAAAATATATTTATGAAAAAATATTATATTTATAAATGTTTAGATAAGTAGGTAATGGATGCCATTATGGCGACCTGAAAAAAAGTTCAATTTTTCCTTGTTTAGTCAATATTAATAGTATTTATTACCAATAATAACCCTAAAAAATACCAGGCGAATAGGAATTATTGACGGTTATAAAGTGGTCTTAATATCGTAAAATTAATACTTATGAGTAACATTTACCATCAAGTAAAAATTCTGACGTTAAAATTACCATTAAATTTTCCTTTAGGTGAAATACACTTATAAGTAATTTTCCTTCGTAAAAATTACGTCCCTCATAATACTTCAAAGTGTTGAAACTTAAGGGTTATTAAAATAGGTTAAAATAACATAAATAAAACTTATTAAATAAATAACTTTAAAAAAAGTTTTACTTCAAAGTAAATTTTTAAGGTTAATTTAACAAAATATTTACTTAAAGCTCTACGCTTTTTTACTTAAAATGCTGCTTGGTATATACTAATATAGACCTTAGAAATTATAGATAGATAAACGTTTTTTACTTTTGTTGACTGTAGGTGGTATTACTGGAGCCGAAGCGGGCACTCTGACTTTTATGGTGGGAGGGGATGAAACCACAGTAAAAACAGTAGAACCGACTTTACTACAAATGGGGCAAAAAGTTTACCATTGCGGGCAGACTGGTTCCGGACAAATTGCAAAAATGTGCAACAATCTCATTTTGGGCGTGACTATGATAGGAACATGCGAGGCCATGAATCTAGCTCGAAAACTAGGTTTGGACCAGAAAAAATTAACGGAAATAGTTAACGCTTCCACCGGAAAATCCTGGTCTTCGGAGATATACAACCCAGTGCCGGGTATTTTGCCCAACGTGCCCTCTTCGAATGGATATAAAGGGGGCTTTGCTGTGCCCCTTATGGCTAAGGATTTGGGTATAGCAGACAGTGCTGCACTTGCCTGCGGGGCCGCTGTGCCCCTCACTGCAGCTGCCCTGCAGATATACAGGATGATGCAGAATCATGGGTTCGAACAGAAAGATTTCTCGTCTGTGTATGAGTTTTTGAAGGGGAAAAATAGTAAATAAGTTTACAAAAAATGTATTTTTTTGTTAAAAAAACATCGAAAAATCCCTTAAAACAATGTCTTGTGCCACTCCATGTAGTGTATGCTCTAAGGTTATTTTTCTGAAAAATCGTTTAAATTAATTTAGTAATTATTATTTGATTGTTTGTAGTAGTAATTTAATTTTTTTATAGAAAAAAAAAGATAGAAAAGTATTTTTTGTTTGCATTTTTTAGATAGTTAAAAAAAGATTTTAGGATTTTTTTCCTAAAAAAAATCAATATTTTAGCTCTTAATCAATCCATGTTTTATATCGTCCAAGGTTGTCCCGGCGAATTCGCCATTTTTGCAAAAAATACAAACATAAATTAAATTGTAGAAACTATAATAAAAATCACAAAAACAAAAAATAGAAAAAGTCATTAAAAACAATATTTTAGCAAAAAATCCCTTAGAGTATACATCACATGGAGTGCCAAAGCTCTGAATCAATCCATGTTTTATATTGTCTAAGGTTATCCCGGCACATTCGCCATTTTCGCAAAAATAATAAATTTTAACAAAACGACTTTTAAATTTATTTAAAAAGGTAAAATAGAATCCCTTAAAAAAGTATTTATACTTTTTATCTTAAAAACCTTGATAAAAATAGGTTACTCTTTTTAAGTATTTTTGTTTCCATGTTAAAGTTGTTGAAACCATGTTAAAAATCCCAAAAACAAAATAAAGAGTTTCGAAATCTTCGTCAATTTTCATAATTTAAAATATGCAAAATGACGGGTTTGTGTTTTTTGAAGGAAAAAAAAATTGAAAAGGTTTTTGGGTTTTTTGTTTTTAGCTTAAAATCCCTTAGAGTATACATCACATGGAGTGCTAAAGCTCTGAATTCAATCCATGTTTTATGTTGTCTAAGGTTGTCCCGGCGAATTCGCCATTTTTTGCAAAAAATCGTAAACAACACTATAGCGTCGTATACTTTTAAATTCATTTAAAAAAAGTTAAATAACATTAAAATAATTTTTTTTAAGTCTTAAAATTGTAGAAACTGTTAAAAATTACAAAAACAAAAAAATTAAATTTTACAATTTTAAAACCAACTGTCATAATAAAAAATTGTAAAATTACGAAGATAATGAAAAAGTTTTTTTTTTAATAAAAATCTGAATCTAGAAAAGGTTTTTGGATTTTTTGTAGTTAAAAAATCATTATATTAGCTAATAATCCCATAGAGTATACATCACTTGGATTGCTAAAGCTCTAAAGCAATCCATGTTTTCTATTGTCTAAGGTTATCCTGGCATATTCGCCATTTTTACAAAAATAATAAATTTTAACAAAAAGCTATTTGTAAAAAACCTTGAAAAAATTTTAAAAATGCAAAATCACGGGTTTGTGTTTTAAAGAAAAAAACTCATATAAAAAGTATTTATTGGCTGTATAAAGTAATATTAGTACAAAAACTAAAGTAGTAAAAACAGGTTTAAAGTCTTATAAAAGATATTTCAAAAACATTAAAATTAATTCAAAAAATGCAATGTCTCAACAATTATAAATATAAAAAAATTAGACGGCTTCAATCATAATGGCAATTCCTTGTCCACCACCAATACAGGCTGAACCAATACCGTATTTGCCACCTCTTCTCCTAAAAAATTATTAATAATCAAAAAAATGTAAAATATAGTTTTTTAGTACTTACTTTAATTCATAGGCCAATGTTCCCATAATTCTAGCTCCTGAAGCAGCCAGTGGATGACCCAAAGCAATAGCACCCCCATTTACATTTAATTTGTTCATGTCCAAATTTAAATCCTTGGCACAAGCCAAAGTTTGGGCTCCAAAGGCTTCATTAATCTAAAAAAAGGTTTTTTGTAAAAAAATTGTATCCATGTCATATATGGTCCAAGACCAACATTTTTGTTTGTTATAAAAGTTGTAGATTGAAAAATTGTCTACAAAAAATGTTCTATATATTTTTTGCGTTTGTTATAGTTTTGTAGTTTTAAGAAAAACATTTATTTTAGTGCCGCGCCATATTGTTTTTTGCAAATATCTCGCTTTTCATTAACATTACGACATTTTTATTCATAATAAAAATTGTAGATAGAAAAATTGTCTACAAAAAGGTCCTATACATTTTTCGTGTATTCCTTATAGAATAGATTATTTTTTACCTCAATCAAATCGATATCGTTCAAAGATTTTCCGGTAGCTTTTAAAATGTTTTTGATCGCAGGTGCTGGTCCAAGACCCATGATGGAAGGTTCGACTCCCACGACAGAATAAGCGACTATTCTGCAGATGGGTTTCAAGCCTTGTTGTGCGCATGCTTCTTCGCTAGCGATAACTACAGCGCCTGCTCCATCACAAATACCCTAAAAGTGGTAAAAAAAAAATTATGAAACGTCAAAAAATAACGACAAATGACTTACAGATGCAGATCCAGCGGTGACTAGACCGTCTTTTTTGAACATGGTGGGCAATTTTTTTAGGTTTTCGATGGTAGTTTCAGGTTTTGGATGTTCGTCGATTTCGAAGTTTACCACGCCCTTTTTAGTTTTGATTTCCACCGGGGTGATTTCGTCCTTGAATCTACCGGCAGTTTGAGCTAAAATGTATATTTTTTTGTAAATTTGACAGCAAATTTTCGTATATTTGGCAACGTCGCGTTTTAAGAATTAGTTTGGCAACGTCGCATTTTAGGATTTTGTTTGGCAACGTCGCATTTTGAAATGTCAAAATTTTCGTAAATTTCGCAACGTCGAATTTTAAGAATTACTTTGGCAACGTCGCATTTTAAGATTTAGTTTGACAACGTCGCATTTTGAAATGTCAAAATTTTCGTAAATTTCGCATTTTAAGAATCAGTTTGGCAACGTCGCATTTTGAAGCGTAAAATTTTTCTTAAATTTGGCAACGCCGCATTTTAAGATTTAGTTTAACAACCTCGAAATTTGAAATGTCAAAATTTTCGTCAATTTGGCAAGGTCGCGTTTCAAGAATTAGTTTAGCAACGTCGCATTTTAAGATTTAGTTTGCCAACGTCGCATTTTAAAATGTCAAAAGAAGAGCGTTTTAAGAATTAGTTTGGCAACGTTGCATTTTGAAATGTCAAAATTTTCGTAAATTTTGCAACGTCGCATTTAAAGATTTAGTTTGACAACGTCGCATTTTGAAATGTCAAATTTTTCGTTAATTTGGCAACGTCGCATTTTGAAATGTCAAAATTTTCGTAAATTTCGCAACCTCGCATTTTAAGAATTAGTTTGGCAACGTTGCATTTTAAGAGTTTAGTTTGGCAACGTCGCATTTTTAAATGTCAATCTTTTTTCACAACGTCGCATTTAAAGATTTAGTTTGACAACGTCGCATTTTGAAATGTCAAAATTTTCGTAAATTTGGCTACGTCGCATTTTAAGAATTAGTTTGGCAACGTCGCATTTAAAGATTTAGTTTGGCAACGTCGCATTTTTAAATGTCAAATTTTTTTTCACCTTCTTTCCATTTCTGCTGAGACCTGAGAGCGAAAGCATCGACATCGTCTTTTTTGATCTGATATTGTTCGCCCAATTTTTCCGCCGTCAAAGCCATGGGCAATTTACAGTAAGTATCCATGAGGCCCAACCACAAAGAATCTTCCAGGGTGGGGCTGGTGCCTAGTGGAACCCCAAAACGCATGTTTCTCGCCACGAAGGGCGCCGCGGACATATTATCAACTCCACCGGTTAGAGCCACTTTGGCAACGCCTGTGACAATATCCTTAAAAAAAATATTTTATGATTTTCGGAAATTTGGCAACAATGTGCAGAAATTTGGCAACACCGTATTTTAAAACGTCAAAGTTTGCACACCCTGGCAACACTGCAGTCATGGAGCCTATACAAGGAGCCCGAACTTCATGTAAACAAGAATCTTCCTAAGATAAGAGGGCGCTAGTGTACTACCGGTCCAAAACAGTAGAGTGGTATAACCAGAGATGGCGCCACTACCTACCACTTATTATTGTGGAAATAATTGAGGTTATGCAACTGTCAGTTTATCGCTTTTTGAAAACAATGTACACATGTACCTGGTTTTGTGTATAAAAGTCTTAATTTACAATAAATTTATATCAAATTTAACATTGGAATTCATGTTGGACTTTCTGATGTAGAGTATAGTACAGTTTTTTATAAATACGTGTTTTTTTCTATAAAAGAATGTCGTGTGATGCTAAATCGTGTAAAACCATAAACTAACAGAATATTAAATCCATATGGTATTTATTTTTAGTTTTATAGGCTTAAATAAAAGTTCAATATAAACAAATAAAGGTGGAAATTATTAAATATGCTGTTTACTCATTTTATACATACATTTTTATTTAAATTAAATTTAAATTATTAAATAGCGGTGTATTTCTAACCTGGAAATCTAATTTTGCCTCTCCAGAGTCGTAAAATCACTTCACAGATTATAAAGAATCACTTATATTTCACAACCAAAACCTATTTATTAGAATCTACCTACCAGGCAGTGTTACCAGATTCTGTCAAAAAAAGACCGTACGTTTCGTTCGAATTTACCTTAATTACAAAAATGACTCAATGGACAATATTAAATAACGTCAACTTGACATAATTGCATTTATTTGCATTGTTTCATTGTGTCATTTTGTAATTAAGGTAAATTCGAACGAAACGTACGGTCCTTTTTTGACAGAATCTGGTAACACCAGGTAGGTAACACCAGGTAGTACCAGGTACAGCCATAAATAACAAAACGATTCGTACGTCAAAACATTATTGCAAATCAATTGTCAAAATTACTTGCTTACTTCACATGTATTTTTGATACTATTTTCACGTCATACGGACGCATTGACAAACAGCGCCGCTGGTGGTGAAAAAAAAAGACTTAAATTGTGCAATTTAGTGGACAGGTTTTGTCAATTTTCCCTATTAAGTTCGGGCTCCTTGTATGTTCTGTGGCTCCTTGTGTAGGCTCCATGACTGCAGTGTTAAGTTGTCAAAACTTTTAGAAATGTCAAATTTTAAACGTCATTTAGTATTTCTTAGGTTATGTCTTATTTTATTTATTAATATTTTTATAGCAAATATCTTACTTGTGCGCTATTAACAATGGACTGGAACCCTGATCCACATAACCTGTTAACTATCAAGGCTGGCCTGTCGATTGGGACCCCACATTGCAGACCTACGTGTCTGGCTATAAAACCACCATCGGCTGCTGCAGCCTAGAATTTAATTTCGTCATTTTAAAGTTGTTTTAATTTTTATTAAAAATATGCTTACAGATAAAACGTTTCCTATGCATACAGAATCAACATTTTCAGGTTTAACATTTGCTTGGGCCAGGGCTGCTTTAGCCGATATAACTTGTAGTTGGGTAATACTGATATTTTTTAGTTTACCCCCATAGGTACCAAAAGGGGTACGCTTGGCTCCAACCATCATTACACCTGTTATTTTAATAAAAAATACATTTTCAAATCTTTATTTATATTATTTATTAGTTTTAATACCTTTAATTAACGAAGTCATCTTGTAAGAGCCTTTTTATGGAAACACTGGACAGTAAATGTTCAACTTTGTACTCAGATATTTATAAGCTTTTTGGTTGTAGAAAACACTTATCTGGTATAAAAGTTCAAAGTCCAAGAATTTTATACAGTAAGTGTTTTTCAATTCGAATGAAAAAATATAACAAACAAAACAAAGGTGATAAAATTATTTTAGTTACAAACTACCTTTAAAAATACTTATAATAATAATCAATTCACTACAGAAAAAACAAAAAAATTATTTAGGTTATGTTGCTTGGAAATTTTTAGCCTTTTTGTACTAAATAGGTATCCATTAATTTCCTGTTTTTAAAAATAAATAACAACATGTTTGTTTTATTCAATAACAAAATAATCTCATTTTTAATTAAATCCTTGCATAAAGAGGATAAAAAACAACCGATATCATAGTAATTAATTATAATATTATATTTTTGTCTCAGTTTACAAAACAATAAATTAATTATTTTTCTCAAAATCGGATTAACTAAAACAAATCCGGCAACGTTGCAATCAACTGCCACACTGATTCTAACCTAAAAATTTGTTTTGTTTATGTGAAAAACGCCCATTTGATTTAAATTTAAAAAAAAATCCCTCAAAATGATGCAACAATACATGAAAGAGTTGGAACAGGTATTAAAGGTACTTTTATTTGATGGGAAAATATTAAAATTAAACAAATTTAAGGAACCTTTTGATCCAGATGAATTTATTGAAAGATTGGCTTGGAGAACGATGTCTGAAGTTAAATCTGACGGGGAGGATTTTAACCCGAATATATTGCATGACTCTTTTGTACAGGCAATCAAGTAACTACAAAATAATTTAAAATTTAGCTGGTAGTTTTAAAACGTTTTTTAGGGACTTGACTTTGCTTCAGGAACACCAGCAAAAGAAATGCAAGAAATTGGAGGCTATAGTGCGAGAAAATGAGGCTCAATTTTTCGGCGATGTTGCCAAGTTGACGACGGATAACAAGGTAACGTGATTTTTAAGTAAAGAGTGGTAAAAAGGGTTAAGACGTTTTTTTTTAGCAATCGATGGAGACTTTTCAAGAGTTGGATGGTAAAATAACGCATGTAGCATCAAAAGTTTTGCATTTGGGCGATCAACTCGACAGTGTTAATGGCCCCAGGGCCAGAGTTGTGGAGGCACAAAAATTAATGACACACTTAAACGAGTTTTTTACCACTGGCCCTCTAACGTCATCTTTATTCACAGATCCTAAACGAGTGAGTTGAATTAATTGTTTTTTGTAAATTTGGCAACAATGTACGCTAATTTGGCAACGTCGCATTTTTATAGTTATTGTCAATTTATAAATGTCATAGTTTGCAAATCTGACAACACTGTAATATTCACTCATAAACTTTGGCAACGCCGCATTTCAAAATGTCAAAAATTGGGTCAAATTTTAAAAGTTAAATTTTTAAAAATTTGGCAACAGCGTAGGTTAATTTTGCAACGTCGCATTTTAATGTCATAGCAGAGATTAAAAAATACTTTTCTATATTTAAGTATATTTAATCTTTGGTCATAGTTCGAACATCTGACAACACTGTAATTCACTCGTAAATTTTGACAGGTCACATTTTAAAATGTCAAAAGTCAGGTTGAATTCGAAAAGTTAAATTTGGCAACGTCGCATTTTAAAAATGTCAAAAACTAGATCGAATTTTAATAGTTATTTTTTTGTCAATTTGGCAACGTACGGCAATTTAAAAATGTCATAGTTTGCTAATCTGGCAACACTCTAATATTCACTCGTAAAATTTGGCAACAACGTACGCAAATTTTGCAACGTCGCATTTTAATGTTAGCAATGATTAAATATACTTTTCTAAACTTAAGTATTTTTAATTTTTGGTCATAGTTCTTATCTGGCAACACTGTAATTCACTTTTCAAATTTGGCAACGTCGCATTTTAAAAATGTCAAAAATTAGGCCGTAATTTTTGGCAACGCCGCATTTTATAATGTTAAAAATTGTGCCGAATTGAAAAAGTTAAGTTTTTAACATTATACACATTTTAAAATGTCAAAAATCAGGTTGAATTCGGATAGTTAAATTTGGCAACGTCGCATTTTAAAAATGTCAAAATGCAAACATCTGTCAACACTGTAATAATAAAAAAAATTGACATGTCAAAAATTAGGTCAAATCCAGTCAATTTTGTAAATTTGACAACAACGCGCGGCAATTAGGCAACGTCGCATTTTAAAAATTTGGTTTTTTTATATTAATTTTGGTTTATTTTTAGGTAGATGAGGCTGCAGATGTGATACAGAAACTATTTGTTATTTCTCAAGATTTACCCAATGAAAAGTAAGTACAGTATAGTACTAAGGAAATATTTTTTTTTTTTATTTTAATGCAAAAATTCTTTGCAATATTAATGAATCACCTTGTATATTAAATAGGGGTTCCATATAATGCTCAATAAATATTTTTTTACTTGTTTGCAGATTTAGCGGCGTACTTGAAAAAATAAAAAGAAAATATGCGGATATTGAAAGATCTTTAATTGAAGAATTTACTGATGAATTAAAAAGGGATAATGTCGATAGAATGAAGGAAATTGCTAGTGTTATGTACCAGTTTAAGGGATATTCTCGCTTAATTAATGAATACATAGAATATAGTCAAGCTGTAAATATAAAAAGATTTTTTTTTGTACCTATTAAAAAAAAAATTTTGCTCTATTTTTTATTTTAAAATATTGAAAATTGATGCTTCAATATCTATACTATGTTTTTAGGGGTGTCTCCACACAAAAGAAATTTTCTACAGTCAACTCTTGGAGTTGTGTAGAAAAAACTACGAAAGAATAAAGGAAGTTTTCATAAATCCTGACCAGGTTATGTCCAAATTTGTTCTAAACATTTATCAACTCAAAATCCAGGAACACATTAGATTGAGGCTCTCTGATAAGTTGGAAACATATAATTATTTGAAGACTCTCTATGAACTATTATCAAAGTATGAACAAAATATTTTGTAACATGTCAACGCATTGTTTTATTGATAAGACCATGAGATATTTTTGTAGGGAATTGAATGATCTACAAAAAAGGTTTCTTATAATTTTATGACAAATCTACTCTTTCAAAAGTTATTTAAGGTCAAAGTTGAATTCACAGTAAATTTCATGAATTTTCGACTTTTTCAGCGAAACTAATGGTAAAATTTTATAGGACTTATTTTGTAGAGCGTTTTATTCCCCTCAAATTCTCTTTTACAAAGTTTTTGAAATTCCTGAAGGATCTTTAGTTATTTGCATTTAAGAGTAAATTTATAAAAAAAAAAAATTTTTTTATTATTAAACATTTTTTTCAGGACTAACCAACTGTCAAATGATTTAGCTATGGTGCATGTTAGCAGTGACAAGAATTTTTTGAATAAGTTAACATCAAATATTTTTAGCAAATATATTGACAATTATATACAGTAAGTTTTGAAAGTAAAATAATCAACAAGTACAAAAAATTAATATTTTATTTTAGATTGGAATTAAAATGTTTGAGAGGTAGATGTTCGACGAACCTACAAAGATATTACGACTCTAAAAATCACCAGAAGAAACAAATACAATCAGGAGGGTAAATAAATCAAAAATAAAATATTTTTTGTGCATATATTTTTTTAAATAGATTTCAGGATTTAAGAAGAGACATACAGGCTGTTATAGGTACAAGAGCGAACATAAATATTGCGCAAATAGAAAATTATGGCGGTGAAACTTTTTTGTCAGAGGAATTGGCTATAACTGTACTGCAAGATACAAAACATGCCTTTCAAAGGTGTCAATTGGTAAGAATTTGTTTTCTGCATATATTCATTTAAAAAAAATGTTATTAATATAAAATTTTATAGGAAAATTAATGCTCTACAAAATGGTCTCTTGTTATTTTTTGATTAATCTACTCTTTCAGAAGTTATTTAAGGTCAAACTTGAACTTTCATATTTTTCACTTTTTCAGCCAAACCATCAGATAACTCGTAAAATTGTATAGGACCTATTTTGTAGAGCGTTTTATTCCCTACAAATTATCTCCCACAAAGTTTTTGAAATTCCTGAAGGATCTGTACATATTTTAGCTTTCAAAACCTGAAGACAGGGCGTCAAATGCAACGCAAATCTTGGACTATTTAATCAACTGTCTACTAACTGAACATGTAGACTATGCTCTGGAATTAGGTCTACAGGCCATTCCAGTGGTGGAGGCGGCTAGAACTCCGCCCGTCATTTATTTTTTCAGCGTCGTCTATCAAAGCAACAATATAACGCATCTGCTCGAAAAACAGTTCAGCGATTTGGTGGTTCCCCTAGTTATGTAAGAAAATTAAATATTTTTGTTCGAAAAAATCAACTTTTTTTTCAGAAACTCCGTAAAATACAACGATTGCCTGCAAAAAAAGAAATTCGTGCTTGAAGATATCGAAAAAAAAGTCAACAACGGAATAGACAGGTAAAAAAAAAATTTTGTACCTTGACGTCAAGGTGCATAGTGCACAAGGTTGTCTCGTAATGACGTAATCGGGGAATTTTAGGTCGTTGAACGCCATAGCCGCCTGGATTAAAATGTACTTGCAGGCGGAACAAAAGAAGAGCGACTTTAAGCCCGAAACGGACGATTTTGACACAGTGGCGTCTCCTGTAAGTTTTGAATTTACGTGACAAAGTTTTACATAAAAAAAATCGTTTTAGGCGTGTAAATTGGTGTCGCAATACATCACAAGCATGATTAAGGAAATAAAATCGAATTTGGACGGTAATAATGTCACCATAATTTTGCAAGAGTTGGGTATAAGATTGCACAGGGTTGTGTATGACCATTTATTGCAATTCCAGTACAACACTGCAGGTATTTTTTTATATAATATTTTTATCCACAAAAAATATTTTTTTTCATTTTAGGGGCTATGGTCGCAATCTGCGATTTAAATGAGTATAGATCCTGTACTAAACCGCTTGGACTCTTAGTACAAGAACTGTTTGAAACTTTACATGCCCTTTGTAATTTATTGTTGGTAAAACCTGAAAATCTCGCCCAAGTTTGTTCGGAAGACTCATTGGTAATTTTTTATAAAAAAAAATCAGTGGCGCGGCACTTTGTTTTTTGCTAATATCTTGGGGGTTATTGGTCTGACGATATTTTTGTTAAAATAAAAATTGTAGATTAGAAAATTATCTACAAAAAATGTTCCATACATTTTTTATGTTTTTGTTTTGGTTTTAAAGTTATTAAGAAAAATAACTATTTTCGTATTTTTTTTTGCAAATATCTTGCTTTTTATTAACATTAGGACATTTTTGTTTATTATAAAAATTGAAGATCGGAAAATTATCTACAAAAAAGGTTCTATACATTTTTTATGTTTTGTTTTGGTTTTAAAGTTATTAAGAAAAATAACTATTTTCGTATTTTTTTTGCAAATATCTTGCTTTTTATTAACATAAGGACATTTTTGTTTATTATAGAAAATTATCTACAAAGGTCCTACACATTTTTTATGTTTTTGTTTTGGTTTTAAAGTTATTAAGAAAAATAACTATTTTAGTATTTTTTGCAAATATCTTGCTTTTTATTAGAACATTTTTGTTTATTATAAAAATTGAAGATCGGAAAATTATCTACAAAAAAGGTTCTATACATTTTTTATGTTTTAGTTTTGGTTTTAGAGTTATTAAGAAAAATAATTATTTTAGTGCCGCGCCATATATTTTTTTGCAAATATCTCGCTTTTTATTAACAAACGACATTTTTGTTTTTAGGTAAATTTGGATAAATCAGTATTAAACAATTTCATCCAGCTAAGAAGTGATTTTAAAGCCCAAAAGCAGAATATTTTAAAAGTTTAAAATTGATTTTTTATTCATTTAGTTTTAGTTTAAAATTTATTAATGTTATGTTATACAAATAAATTAATGTTCTTAATTCAACATTGTTTTCTTATAAGATTTTTTTTTAATTATCCTGTTACTTTATGACGTTTTAGTCACTAGCTGAAGTTAGCAACATCTTTTTAGTCACGGGCTGAATTTGGTGGCAGTTGTCAAAAAAATCGTCAAAATAAAGCGACTAGAAGGTAAGGTTTTTATTAACAGTCTGAGAGATGTCAGATGTTGTTTATTTTTAAAAATCATTAAATATTTGTGTTTCTAGACCTTAAAAATAAAATTAGTCAAAAAACATTATTTAATAATAAACCCATTAATCTTAATATTTTCTGAAATTTTAAATTTAGATGACCTAAAATATTAATTTTAGAGATTGTATAACTTTTTATACAATACTAAATTTCCTACAAAACATTTTTTTTACAAAAAACATGCTAATTCAAACATAAAACTCGAGTTAATATTTTTAATACGCGCCTGTTGAATTTCCTCGATGCGGCCCTGTTTCCGATCGCCGAAGTCCGTTGACGTTAGGTTTTCTTGTTTTTTATTGTTTTGCAGATTATTTGATTTATGTCCACCGTAGATTTTAAAAGCCTGTCGTTTTATTCGTTATTTAATTGGCGGTAATTTACTTTTCAACCTCTAAACTCGCTCTCGAAGCAAAAAGAAAAAGCACGTGTCCTAACCAACAAATTATCCGGCGAAAATGGCGAGCGTGGAAAAAATCAGCGAAATCGTGGAGGGCATGAGCCTGAAAAAAGAGAACGGGGTGAGTGTTTTCGGTGTTTTTTATGCTTTTTCCCGGTTTTTAAACCGATTTTTTTCGAAGTTGGTCACAATGAATGCGAGGCATTTCTGGTGGAAAATCGAAATTCCCCGTCCCATACGTCAAAATCACTTCCTTGGCACAACAAGCGCATTTTTCGGCGCCAATAATACGTTCAATTAGCATTCTACAGCACAGGTAAAGGGGATCTAGCGAAAGTTTTCGTATTTGTGCGTCTGATTTAACCGTTGCAAGCATTTTGGCTGCTATTGGTGACCAATTTTCCAGCACGTGTTTTTGGACAATGCCGGTATAGAAATGGTCACGTTTTTTGTCATTTAATAATAATATTGCAGAACATGGAGACAATGGAAGTGGCCGCCGCAGTGAACAACCACGTCGTCTCCAAGGAGGAGAAGATGGAGGATGTCCCGGCTGATGAAATGACTTCGAGGGACTACTACTTTGATTCGTATGCCCACTTTGGCATACACGAAGAGATGCTGAAGGACGAGGTGCGCACCCTCACCTACCGCAACTCGATGTACCACAACAAGCACCTCTTTGCTGGTAAAGTGGTGATGGACATCGGGTGCGGAACGGGCATCCTCAGCATGTTCGCTGCCAAAGCCGGGGCCAAAAGAGTTCTAGCTGTCGAGTGCTCCAACATCGTGGACTATGCCAAGCAGATCATCGAAGCCAACCACTTGGACCACATCATCACCATTGTCAAAGGTAAAATCGAGAAAATGCAAATATCTCACTTTACATTAACATTAGGAAATTTTTTTCCCTAGAAAAATTGTAGATTGGAAAATTCTCCACAAAAAACGTCCCATAATTTTTTTTGTTTTTCTCATGGTTTTAAAGTTATTAAGAAAATTAAGTATTTCAGTGCCGCGCCATATTGTATTTTTGCAAATATCTCGCTTTTTATCAACATTACGACATTTTTCTTAATTATAAAAAATTTGGACCTAAATATTTTTTTCTACAAAAAGTTCCAATACATTTTTTATGTATTTGTTATGGTTTTTAAGTTATAAAGGAAAATAATTATTTTAGTGCCGCGCCAAATTGTTTTTTTGAAAATATCTCAATTGTAATTAACATTACGACATTTTTGTTTATTATAAAAATTGTGGATGAAAGAATTGTCTACAGAAAGGTTCTATAATTTTTTTTGTATCTTTAAAGTTATTAAAAAAAAATTATTTTGGTGCCTCGCCATATTGTTTTTTGCAAATATCTCGCTTTTTATTAACATTACGACATTTTTCTTCATAACAAAAATTGTAGATTGGAAAATTTTCCACAATAAAGGTCCCATACATTTTTCATGTATTTGTTATGGTTTTTAATTTATAAAGAAAAATATTTATCTAGTGCCGCGCTTTGTTGTTTTTTGAAAATATCTCAATTGTTATTTACATTACGACATTTTTGTTTATTATAAAAATTGTGGATGAAAAAATTGTCTAGTATAATTTTTTTTTTATTTTTTTAAAGTAAAAAAAAAAATTATTTTAGTGCCTAGCCATATTGTTTTTTGCAAATATCTCGCTTTTTAATAACATTTCGACATTTTTCTTCATTATAAAAAATTTAGACCTAAATATTTTCTAAAAAAGTTCCAATACATTTTTAATGTATTTGTTATGGTTTTTAAGTTATAAAGAAAAATAATTTTTTTAGTGCCGCGCCAAATTGTTTTTTGAAAATATCTCAGTTGTTATTTACATTACGACATTTTTGTTTATTATAAAAATTGTGGATGAAAAAAATGTCAACAAAAAGGTTCTATAATTTTTTTTATTTTTTATATCTTTAAAATATATTTTAGTGCCTTGCCATATTGTTTTTTGCAAATATCTCGCTTTTTATTAACATTACGACATTTTTCTTCATTATAAAAAATGTAGACCTAAATATTATCTAATACATTTTTGATATATTTGTTGTGGTTAAGTTATAAAGAAAAATAATTATTTTAGTGCCGCGCCAAATTGTTTTTTGAAAATATCTCAATTTTTATTAACATTACGACATATTTGTTCATTACACAAATTGTAGATCGGATAATTGTCTACGAAAAAGGTCCTAAACATTTTTTATGTATTTGTTAATCTTTTAAAGTTATTTAAAAAAGTATTTTTAAGTCGAATAGTCTTTGCCGGTTTTCTATAAGACGCACCATTAATTAGTTATCAATAAAATAAAGTAGCCAATCACAGGCGTGTTTTAGCACAATGATTAGAGGTGGGAGAACTATAATGTGCAGCTTAAATTCTATATAAAATCGTAGTGTAAAATGACCTTAATTATATGGTTGACATTGTCAGTGTCAGTGTTTTTGTTTTAGGTTAGTTTTAACTTGAGACATTTTTTTCTTAGGGAAAATTGGTAGCTCTTGTACAGATTAATAATCGCTTTAAACGTTGTGTTTCTTACAGGGGCGCTTTTAAGCCAAAATGTGCTTAGAACAACCGTTTTACTCTTATCGTAAAAATAATCAGGGCTGTCATTAAACTGTCAAATTTCAATTTTAAGGTTAATTTACGATAACCCACAAATTTAAATTTGATAGTTTGATGACAGCTCTGATATAATAAGGTTTAAAATGGTTGTTCTTAGCACTTAAGGCCTCATTTGAGACATACAAGTACCTCTGTAAGAAACACAACGTTTAAAACGATTTTTAATCTGTATAAACATAAAAATGGCCGCCGTTAGATGCTGTGCAGTGTTGCAGTGATTTTTATTATGCGCGAAACAAGATGATTATTACATATTCATTCAAATATCTCTCAAAACACTGACAGTGACAGTGAAAAAAATAAAATTAAGGTCATTTCACAATATGATACTTTCATAGCCATGGAAAGTAATTAAGAAAAAAATAATTTCAGGTAAAGTCGAGGAAATCTCTCTCCCGGAAGGTATAGACGGAGTGGACATAATAATATCCGAGTGGATGGGTTACTGCCTGTTCTACGAAAGCATGCTCGACACAGTATTATTCGCGCGCGACAAGTGGCTAAAACCCGACGGTCTTTTGTTCCCCGACAGGTGTTCGCTGTTCGTAACGGCCATCGAGGACCGCCAATACAAAGACGAGAAGATCAACTGGTGGGACGACGTGTACGGTTTCGACATGAGTTCCATCAGGAAGGTGGCCATAAGCGAGCCCCTGGTGGACGTTGTGGACCCCAAACAGGTGGTCACCACGCCGGCGCTGATAAAAGAGGTCGATTTATACACGGTTACAAAAAAAGATTTAGAGTTTGCCGCCCCGTTCACCCTCACCGTGCGCCGCAACGACTACGTGCAAGCTTTGGTGACGTACTTCAACGTCGAGTTCACGAAGTGCCACAAACGCATCGGCTTCACCACTGCCCCCGACGCGCCGTACACGCATTGGAAACAAACTGTGTTCTACTTCGAGAACTACATGACGGTCAAAAAGGGCGAGGAGGTGAACGGGGTGTTCACCATGAAGCCCAACCCCAGAAACAACAGGGACCTGGACTTCGTCATCGAGTTGAACTTCAAGGGGGAACTCGGCGAAGTTCACGAGAACAACAGATATCGCATGCGTTAATCCGCCGTCGACTGTGCTTCTCTTTCCTTCAATTATTTAAATCACTACGCAGTTTATCCCCCCTGAAATTAAACTGTCCCCCAACTAGTCCCTTAGTTCTTTTTTATTATTTTTTTATTATTTATAAGTAAGACAAAAAAATAACCGAATTATTCGATACGAAACGGCGGGAATCTCACTGCGTTTAGTGCTGTTGACTGGCAAATTCAAATTGTGATTAGTATTTGTAAACTGAACTGTGGTTTGTAGTTGTATTATTGAGGATTCGCGAGCTAGAATTCATATTTTTTTGTAACATGTAATTCAATTAATATTATAATCTAATAATGTGAACAATAAAACTTTTCATTTTACTTTTCAAGCTTTTTATTTTTCGTGATCAAAAAAATTCGGTGGCGCGGCAGTTTGTTTTCTGCTAATATCTCGCGTGGTATTGGTCCGACGATATTTTTGTTATTATAAAAATTGTAGATTGGAAGATTGTCTACAAAAAATTTTCTATACATTTTTATGTGTTTGTTATAGTTTTTGAGTTATCATTAAAAATATACATTTAGTGCCGCGCCATGTTGTTTTTTGTAAATAACTCGCGTAGAATTGGTCCGACGATGTTTTGTTAATTATAAAAGTTGTAGATCGAGAAATTGTCTACAAAAAATGTCCTAAACATTTTTATTTATCGGTAATAGTTTTTGAGTTATTGTGAAAAAAATCAAATTGGGCGAAGACAAAAAAAGTTTTTTCGAAATATCTCGCGTATAATTGATCTGGCGACATTTTTTTCTATTATGAAAAGTGTATATCAGGAAATTATCCACAAAACATACTCTATACATTTTTTATCTATTTTAATAGTTCTTCAATTATTGTAAAAAATTAAAGTCGAAATAAGTGCAAAATTGTATTAAACAAAAAATACATATTTCATATTTTTTTCTTTACTTGTACAACTTATGACTTTCCTACACATTGTAAAAAAACTGTGTTCTACTTCGAAAACTACATGAAGCCCAACCCCAGAAACAACAGGGACCTGGACTTCGTCATCGAGTTGAACTTCAAGGGGGAACTCGGCGAAGTTCACGAGAACAACAGATATCGCATGCGTTAATCCACCCTGGACTGTGCTTCTCTTTCCTTCAATTATTTAAATCACTACGCAGTTTATCCCCCCTGAAATTAAACTGTCCCCCAACTAGTCCCTTAGTTCTTTTTTTATTATTTTTTTATTAGTTATAAGTAAGACAAAAAAATAACAACCGAATTATTTGATACGAAACGGCGGGAATCTCACTGCGTTTAGTGCTGTTGACTGGCAAATTCAAATTGTGATTAGTATTTGTAAACTGAACTGTGGTTTGTAGTTGTATTATTGAGGATTCGCGAGCTAGAATTCATATTTTTTTGTAACATGTAATTCAATTAATATTATAATCTAATAATGTGAACAATAAAACTTTTCATTTTACTTTTCAAGCTTTTTATTTTTCGTGATCGAAAAAAATCGGTGGCGCGGCAGTTTGTTTTCTGCTAATATCTCGCGTGGTATTGGTGCGACGATATTTTTGTTATTATAAAAATTGTAGATTAGAAGATTGTCTACAAAAAATTTTCTATGCATTTTTATGTGTTTGTTGTAGTTTTTGAGTTATCATGAAAAATATACATTTAGTGCCGCGCCATGTTGTTTTTTGTAAATATCTCGCGTAGTATCGGTCCGACGATGTTTTGTTATTTATAAAAGTTGTAGATCGGGAAATTGTCTACAAAAAATGTCCTAAACATTTTTATTTATCGGTAATAGTTTTTGAGTTATTGTGATAAAAATCAAATTGGGCGAAGACAAAAAAAAAAGTTTTTTGGAAATAACTCGCATATTTGGCGACATTTTTGTCTGTTTTGACAATTGTAGATCAGGAATTTATCAACTAAACATTTTTTATCTATTTTAATAGTTCTTCAGTTATTGTGAAAAATAAAGTCAAAATAAGTGCAAACTTGTATTAAACAAAAAATACATATTTAATATTTTTTTCTTAACTTGGACAACGTAATGACTTTCTTCGTATAACTAGGCTTAAATAAATTAATTAGGGGGGTCAAAGTGGGCCGTCCATGGGCGCACTGAAAGGGTAAATCGCAGTTTGCCAAATCCAAAATTAATTTTTGACATTCTTCGGTAAACAGGTGGTCGCCAAATTTAATGGCGCCTACAACAAAATAACAATTAAAAATTTTTTTTTTCGTCTTTGATTTTACCTCTGCACGCCTCCATGTTGACTATGTTTTGTAGAAATACAGGCATTGTAGGCGCCACACCTTTACTTTCCTTGAAAGTCTCAATTAGTTCTTGAATTAGAAGTGTTATGTATTTGTTGTGGGAATTTTTGTTTTTCTTGAAAAAAAAAATTTAGTGCCGCGCCACGTTTTTTGTAAATATCTCGCGTAGTGTTGGTCCGACGATATTTTGTTTATAATGAAAGTTGTAGATCGAGAAATTGTCTACAAAAAATCCCCATACATTTTTTTTCTTAAACTATTCGTTGTACCTACGTTAAAATTGTATGGGACTTTTTTATAGAAATTTTCGAACAAAAAATCTTACTTCATTTTGAATTTTTGTATGTAAGCACAAGGGAATTTGTGTTACATTTATACAGCTAGACAAAAATGCAACTGTAATTCCTATATAATTTAAATATTCTTCATTTTCCTTTAATATTTTTATGTCCAACTTTCTGACGAATAATGTTGTTTGAGGGCAATCTACTTTGGAACCAGAGTATTCTAAAATAAGCCACATGAAGAATTTTTTTTATTTTTCAAAAAAAAAACCTTTTTGCAAATTTTCTAGACGTATTCTTTCATGTACCGCGTGTTGGTCGAAGATAATCAATAATTTATCCTTATTATCCAAAGTGGCGATGAATTTTTTATCGATTTGACCTATGACGGTCAAATTTTTGAAAACATCTTTTTGGAAAACTTTAAAATTGACTGCTTTCAAATGTTTAGGTATTAAATTCGCTGTTTGAATACCACTTTCAAAAAGCTTAGTTTTTTCCTGGTAAAGTATATCGAAAAATGTTTTGGGATCTACAAGGTAATTATTAAGCGTTGTTTAAATTGGTAACGACAATTTTTACCCTGGTAGTTATTAAGATAATTCTGCCATTTAAGCAAGTTTAAGTCATCGAGTTTTTCTATTAAAGCGTTCTGAAATTTTTCTTTCGAGTTTTGACTCAGTGAGATGTCGAAATCGTTATTTTTTGTCAGCAACATTGGAGATAGACCTTTAGGTATAAACTCTGGTCGTTGGTGTATATTAAACACGTTGTTTTCTATTCTGTTTTGGGAATTTGCATATGCCAAACCTAGTGAGAAAAAATGCTTATATATTTTCACATTATTAGCGTTATATATATACCAGTTCTTTTATTGATGTAGCAAACATTTCCATCTTGGTTTGTTTCTTTAAACCAATCCAAATTTTCTTCATCTACTGTATCTTCTTTTCGGTTTATTATCAGTTCTTCATTGGTAAATTTATTTACGGTATCATTTAAAAATTCGTAACTCATTTCATTAATTATATTTTTAGTATTTGTTGGTGTAAACAAATCAATGCTGAAGGGTTTAATGTTGATTTTTGGCTTTGTAAAATATAGAGACGTATTTTGTTGGGTACTGAACAGTTTAGGCTTAAAATTATTAAACTCCTTACATGTTTCAAAGTACATTGAGGGTTCAAGGTTTGTATTAAAAATATCGTTTTTTTGGTCACAAAAGATCGGCACAAATGGTTTGGCAAAATCGAAAGAAGGATTTTTCTGCGTGCTAAACAATTTAGGTTGAAAATCTTCGAAATTCGAAAATGCGTAATCTTCACTGAATGACCTTGGAAAAACGTTAATTTTTTTATTGAAAGGCGTTTCCTCAGATCTATAGTTTCGTAAAAATGAATTTGTTATATTCATAAGACTTATGTTAGGTTTGGTTACTTTCGGTATGGGGCTAAGATTGGCACCTTGAGGCACCCCTTTATTTTCTTTTCTGCAAATTTGAAGCAAATCGATCTTATTTTTTCTCTTTTCTTTGTTATTAAAGTGAAATGGTTCTAGTTTATCAAAGTCGAACAAATTAATATTCTTTTGTACGGGCAAATTATTTTTCGGCAAAACAATTGTGTAATTATCAACATCGATGTAAAAATCATTATTATTATTACTATTCAAGTTACTGAAAGTCGTTTGAATGCACTCAGAGACCATTTTTTTGCTAAACGAGGTTTGTATGCATTTGTCAGTTTTCGACTGTCTTTTTTTCTTGAATTTGACAGACATCGATAGTGTTGTGTTTTTCTCGCGGTTTTTTGTTTTCAGGGTCTGTTCCATGAAAATGTTGGATTCTAAAATCGTTTCACCGCTATTCTGCGTTTCGTTGGGAAAAACTTGCGTCGATTTTAAAAACATGTCCATTATGAGGTTTTTGCCTTTATTTTCGTCAGTTGTGAATTTTGAAAACATCGTCATGTTCTGATAGTCTTCCGCATTTTTTGGGGGGTCTATTTTGATGGGTAGAGGGTTTTTAAACGTTTTTTTGGCTAGCTTTAATTTGTTTTGGTTTTGGTCTTCTTCTGTGAAATTTATTAAATAATCGTTTTCTGTTTCATTGGTCAATTTTGGTTTTTTATTCTTGGTTTTTGATTTGTCCAAAAATGCGTTGAATTCTTTAGACGGCCCTTCTAAATTTGTATCAACATCTTCCGATTTTTTTGGAATTTTATTATTTCTGGTCTTAAATTTCTCCAAAAACTCTTCCGAATTTTTTTCCGAAAGTGATTTCTCCAAAATTTCATCATTTAAGTCAAAATTCTCGTAGGCCTTCCTTTTGAAGGCCTTTCCCTTGACAGCCCCTAGCATATTAGAGATGCTGAATTGACTTTTGCATTTTAGACTAGCGGGTTTATTTTTCACCTTTTTCTCGTCTTCCCCAAGGAAAACGTTCGCCAATTTTTCCATGCATTTTTTTATCAAATCAAAATTTTTGAATTCTACCACGGTTTTGGCATGATTTGTAATCATATCCAGTTCCGAGTACGGGCATTTAATATTTATCACAAATATTGGCCACCTTTCCGCGCTCTTTTTAGACCTATCGATTTTTTTCAGTAAATTGCAAATAATTGACTGTAACTCTGTGTTAATTACAGGCCTTTTATTCACGTAAATATACTGCATTTTTTTACTTTTACACAACTCCTTATGAATTAAACCCTCAACTGTAATTTTATCTTTCTTTACTTTTAATACTTCCAAATTATCTGCAACATCACTATAAATACTCAAAAAAGAGTGAATCACGTCTTTGTGTTTTACACTATTCAATATTAAATCTCCTGTAATATCATTCCGCAGTGTAAAGGAAACACCAGGATTTATAATTATTAAACTGGTAATGCTTACTTTAACCTCCTCCAACTCTAAATCAGGTTTTACGTTTTTTCTACGAACAGGTAAATTATTCAAGAAACCTTCTATAGTAACTGTAGTACCTCGACTAGGCCTTTCATTGGTTAAAACAACCCCACTCTCAACATTATGCTTTATAGTTTTTACATAAGTCTCCTTTAACTCTTGTTTTGAAGTAATGCTTACCAACTTTGACATACTACATATCGAAGATATTGATTCCCCTCTAAAACCATAGTACTTTTTATCTTTAACCCCACAACATTTACTAGTCATGTATCTTTGCCCAATTAAATCCATATTTTCCCTGCTTATTCCCTCCCCATTATCAACCACCTGTACTCTGAAAGTCACAAGATTCACCCTTATTGCTATTGCCTTAGATTTGGCATCCAAACTGTTCAAAACCTGCGAAACATAACAAATAATTAAGTTAACATAATTATTTAGGGCCTACTAGTTCCGTAACACACTGTACAACACTGTTGACGATGTAATTGCTTCTTAGTTTTGTTATTATGTCGGGGTCTAGCTTTTTAATGCTCATTTTTATGTGGGGAACTTAAAAACTAACCTTAGTTTTAAGAGTTGTCAAATAAGTACAGAAAGTTGGCTGGGGATTCTTGACATTTGACATTTAACCACATAAAAAACTGTTTAAAACAAAGTAAAAAATGTGCACACACTTTTAATAAGGTAATTGCTTCTTTTGTACCTCCCTATCAAGTATTTTTATGATTCACGGTTTAAAAACACCTTGTTTTTGAGCTGTAAACAATTCAGTTGGCTGTCAGATGTCAAACTTGAATTGTCAAATGTAAACGTCATTTTTAAATAAAAACAGTTTTATTTATTCTTTTTCTATGATTTGTGCCTATAAATATTTAAAAATTATGCATTGAATTTATAAAAATAGTGACTAGTTTAGCAGATAGGCCATATAAGGTAATAAATATCGTTTTTGTATGTAGTTTAGACCTTGGAATGTTCAAACAGTTGGCTATGAATTTTTGACATTTGACATCAATTTTAAATTGAAAAATATTTTTAGTATAAACCACATAAAAACTGTTTGAAATATAGCAAAAAAATGTGCACACTTTTAAAAAGGTAATTGCTCCTTTTGTACCTCCCTATCAAGTATTTTCATGATTCACAATTTAAAAACAGCTTGTTTTTTGAGCTGTCAACAATTCAGTTGACTGTCAGATGTCAAATTTGAATTGTAAATAGAAACGTCATTTTCAAATAAAAACAGTTTTATTTATTCTTTTTCTATGATTTGTGCCTTAAAATTATGCAATGTATTTACAAAAATAGTGACTAGTTTAGCAGATATACATAGTACAGTTTGGAATATAAGTATAAGGTAATAAATATCGTTTTTGTGTAGGTATGTAGATTTAATTTAATCTTTAAACTAAATACCTTGAATGTTCAAACAGCCTCGTTGGCTTTGACTCTTTGTTGCTGCATGTAAGTTTCCTTGAGCATTTTGAGGTTTTCCTGCAGGGAAACGACTTCTTCGAATCTTTGGGCCTGTCTTGCTTGGTCAATGTAATTCTTCACGATATTCATTTGCTCGATTAAGGGGTCCTCGTCGGATTCGTTTTCAGCTTTTGTGGGGGTCCACCCCGTCGTGACAGTAACTTTTTTTATGTTGTTCCTCATGACGGGCACATAGTCTTCCTCTACCACTTTCATAGCATGTTCGGCCCTGATTTTTTCCAAATCCTCGACCGTAGGGGGCGCCGGGAGGGTCAGCAGGTAGTCCTTGATGTAGATCGAAGTCGCTTTCCGTATGCTGTTTTGGAGGTTATGTTGTTTGGGGGTGTCGGGCTCGATGGGCATCGAGGCGATTTTTTTGCTCAGCGTGTCCAAAATTTCCGCGTTTTTTGCTATCGTCGTCCTTAGATTCTGCGCGTCCTGCAGCAAATACGTTCTCTCGCCTGAAGTTAACGAGTTGTAAACCTAAAATAATGCAATTTAGCTTTCTTTCGTTTTTTTGTAAATATCTCGGTTGGTATTGGTCTGACCAAATTTTGTATTCTTGTAAAAATTGTAGATCAGGAAATTGTCCACAAAAAATGTCCTATACATTTTTTAATTATTATTTATAGTTTTTCAGATATTGTGAAATAAGTAAAAATACATAAATTATTATTTTTTTTAACTTTAGACTTTTTACCTTATGATATGTTTCTACAGAGTTCTGTACTTGTGATTTAACCGTTTGCAAGTGGTTGTAAAGCTGGCATATCAACGGCTGCATCATTTGTTCGATTTGAACTCTTCGGCGACATTCCAGCATGTCTAGGCAATGGTTACAAATACGTAGACTTTCAGATTCACTTGCTTGGGATTCAGAACCATTGTTTGTATGCACTGGGGCCACTATAGTTTCTGTAAATCAACCCTAAATTCACCTCCACATTACATCTTTTACAAACTTACGTGCTGTCTCATAGGTTAGGAAATACGAGCATGAATTGCACATAATGCTCCCACACAGTCTGCAATGGTGTTTTCTTCGGGTTATGTTAAACGAGGAGGCACACGATGGACATCTGGTGACCGTAGTGCCGTCCAACCAAGCAACTAGTTCTTGCTCTTGTTGTTTTCTATCTGAACCGTAAAACCTTAAAAGTCTGTCCAATCTAATCACTAATTTATTCGTTTCCGCCGTTCTATGATCCAATCTGTCGCGTCTTATGGCTTTGTAATAATCGGTGTGAGATTTTATTTGACCTGCATCTTGCGGCTCACTGTATTCCAAGTAGTATCTTTCCAGTCGCACTTCGTTGCGAAATATTTCCAAGTCTTTTTCGTCCAATTTCAGTATCTTCTTCTTTGCTTTGCCGTAGAAATCTTAAAAAACATTATCATTAGGAAAACACAACCTCACAAATAAATGAAACATAACCTCACCTTTTATGGACTTCAAAATATCTTGTTCTTCCGAATGCAAGTCCTGAAAATGCGCTATCAGATTGCCCGGGGACCTTAAATCCTTGTGGCAAATGGGGCACAAGAACCCCTCTGCTATGGCTTCGGCCATAATAACTAAAATACAAACGAAACACTGTCACTGTTAAATTTGACGTTTGCAACGGCAACGCCGCTTCATGTGGGGCGGTGTTATGCAACAAGTTTTCGGTTAAGAAGTTATCTGTAAGTTTATTGTGTTGCTTTAGCAAGTGGATGATAGATGGCGACACAAGTAAAAAGCACCATATACTTACGTAAGTATATGAAAAGCACGAAATACTGTACTGTCTGTCCACTCTAAGTTGGCTGAACTAAGGAATTTTGTTGTTTAGATATTAATGAATTGTCGTACTGTGTGCTTTTAAAACAGATTTTATATTATAAATAATACTAGTAAATAATATGTACTAGTATTATTTATAATATAAAATCTGTTTTAAAAGCACACAGTACGACAATTCTTTAATATCTAAACTACAAAATTCCTTAGTTCCGCCAACTTAGAGTGGACAGACAGTAGAAGTTTGTGAAATCAGGAATAAATTCATTCAATTAAAATACAAGAATAATTTTTTTTAATAAAACACGTTTATTTCTCTAACTATTCAACAACTTTTGTTTAACCAATGATATAACATCAGGGTCGGTAAAAGCATCGATTGTTTTTTCTATACAATTATTCCTTATTTCATTATCATCAAAATTTGTATCTATCTTAAAGTTTTTACTCTTATTTTCTATGTATTGATGAAATTCTTCATTGCTCATTACATTAACTTTTTCAATAAAAACATTCTCATCTAAAATTTTATCAACGCTTAAAAAATTCTGAGGTTTAGCGTTTTCGTTTTGTTCACTTTTAAATTTTTTGTTTTTCTGCTCCTCCATAAACTTTTCTTTGCAGAAATTTACAGTTTCTATGGCTGTAGCGAAATTTAGATTTTGTATTTCCTAAAAGCAACAATATTTTTTATTTTGTTTTATACTTTTCACAAATGTAAAACTTACATCTTGTATATTGGGATTCAGCAAAATTTTTTGCTGATCTTTGTTCAAATCCTTTGAAAATTGCGATATTATTAATTGAATTAACGACTCGTTTATTCTTTCTTCGTGATCAACTTCCTAAAATTAGTAAAAAAAATATTAAATTTTTTTCATAAAGTTAATTTGGTGCCGCGCCATATAATTTTGTCAAATATCTCGCTTTTTATCAACATTTCGACATTTTTGTTCATTATAAAAATTGTAGACCTGAATATTTTCTACAAAAAATATTTCATAAATTTTTATGTATTTCTTATAGTTTTAAAGTTATTAAGAAAAATAATTATTTTGGTGCCGCGCCATATGGTTTTTTGCAAATATCTCGTTTTTTATTAACATTACGACATTTTTGTCCATTATAAAAATTGTAGACCGGAATATTTTCCACAAAAAAGGTCCTATACATTTTTTATGTATTTGTTATAGTTTTAAAGTTATTAAGAGAAATAATTATTTACTGCCGCGCCATATTGTTTTTTGCAAATATCTTGCTTTTTATTAACATTACGACATTTTTGTTTATTATGAAAATTGTACACCTGAATATTTTCCACAAAAAAGGTCCTATAAATTTTTTATGTTTTTGTTATACCTAGTTATTAATAAAAAAAATTTTTATTAAAAATAATTAATAAATTAATTTACCATTGAAATCCAAGTATTAAGGCTTATGGAGGTTTCCAAATTTTCGACATAGTGCCACCATTTATTTGGTAAAAACAAAACATCCCCAGGATTTAAGGTAATTTTTCTACATCTTGATAAAGCTAAAAAAATTGGTGTACCTATACTGTTTATATTTTATTAAAATTTTACCTTTAAAATCTTTAGGATTTGGACTATAAAAGTTAAGTTTTGAATAAATACTGGATTCTTCGTAAGGAATTCTTGTTTGCTGAAGATTTTCTTCAGGAGGAAAAATAATCCACTCTTTTCTGAAATAAATGTGTTACCAATAAAATTTTACAATGTTTATGTGTGTTTTCTTACTGTCCAAAAATTTGAAAAATAATGTTACTCCCGTATGTATCTTTATGGCAAGGTGTATGGGCTCCTTTAGATCCAATCCACAGTGTTGAGTGCTCAAAATTCAACTCTGGAAAACCAAAAGCTTCCCAAGAAATTTCCTACAAAATCATGGAATTAATTAAAAAGTTATAAATGAGATTTAAAATACATTTTTTAATTCCTCCACATTTGAAAGCCAATCTTTTAAGTATTTATAGTCAAAATACAACCATTTTTTACTATTTGTTTCCATGGTGGTTAAAAAATCATCGAATTTCATGTGTTCTATTTTTGTGGTCCGTTCCCATTGTGGATTCTATAATAAAAAAAATTATAAAGTGAAAATATTTTTATAAAATCTTACCTTGGTGTATTTGCTAACTCCACACCGAAACTCCATGATTTCATCCTTCAAAATGGCTTTCCATTTCTCCAACGACCACTCCATAACATTACAACCAATATAATTCTTGAACCTCAAAGGTTCTTTGCAATTTTCAATCAAAAATCTCATTTGTATCGGATCCACCGCATAATTGGAATTCATATTTCCCGCGCCCAATCTAGTGACTTTCACTTTTACACCAGAATCGCAATATCCACCCAAATAACCTATTCTCGCCCAATTATTAACAATTCGTTAGCACTATACAATTAAGTGGTGGGTTTTGAGTAAAAGGAAAGTTTTAAAGCCTTGGTTCAATTGTGATCACGCATTTTCCACGAAAATACCAACCGATTTCTCGAGTGACGTTTACATGACAGATGAATATAATCAATATGGCAGCTAGTGTCAAATTTTGTCATTGAGATGTTCAACAACAAATAGGGCTGTTCTGTGTGATTATTATTTAAGTATTAATTAGTTCAATGAAGTTACTAAGGATGTTTGTTAAGTTTTGGTGATTTAATAGGTTAATAATTAGTGGCAGTGAAATTTAGGAAAAACATAAAAAACACATATTTAGCAAGATTTAACTGAAAGGTGATTAAATTTTTAATTTGTTGTGGTTTTGCGTTGTTAGTACGAAGGTCGTGTAGTGTTTTAAGATGTATTATTTTCGATTTGTTGTTAAAAATGTATTTATTTTAGATGTCGAATATTATACCCCCCTTGTTGAGTAATTCGCCGCCCCCAATTATGGGGGCCCTAGATGACGACGAGGACGATGATTTCGGTAATTTTAGGGCTGCTCACGATTTATCTTACAGCTGTGATAGTAAGTTTTCTCATTGTAGATAAAAACCAAAATATTCTGTTGTTCTTTTAGATTTATCATTGCCTTCCTCCCCATACCACTCTCCAGATAAAGAAGACTCCCTGGACATCAACAGAAATAGCAGCAAGGACAAAAAAGATTTTCACGATCGTAGAAAAGAATCTTTTAGTACAAATGGTGATTTTAGCGGTTTTACAGTTGACACGCCCCCACCTCTAAGTGCTAGTGACATAGTGACTAAAACAAATGAAAAAAGTGAACCTTACGATGAGGCCTTTAAAAATCACGATATTTCTGATGATACTGAATGTAGTCTAGATAAAATAAACATTGTAAATAGTTTTGTGGATGCTGAGCAAGAAATTTGTGATAGTATTAGTTTAGGTAACATTACATTATTATTATTTTTTTATTTACTGTATATTTTTAATTGTTTTTATAGGAGATGAAAGTACAGAAATTAGCAAAAAAATTAACGATGAGCTTTTATTAAATAACGTAAAAAATTTAACTATAGGAGATGATGTGAACATTAGTCAAATAAAAATTGATGATTTTGGTGAATTTTTAAAACCACCTGACAATTTAAAAGAAGAAATCATAAAAAATTATGTTGAGAAACCTTTGAAAAGTGAAGAAAGTGATTTAAGTAAAGAAGAGAATCCTGCAAAATTTGAAGTTTTAAAAATTGAAGAAAATTACGTCAATGGAGTTGATTTTGATGAACCTGGTGATGATTTTGGGGATTTTGAAGCTCCAATTGAAGAAATTACAAAAATAGAAAACATTGTTAATGATGAAGAAAACAAAGAAGATTTAGATAAAATTGAAGAAAAACATGATAATTTTGAAGAATTCTCCAGTTTTGAAGATGCAGATGATGCAAATGAAGATAAAATGGTAACCAATCATGAAATTATTAAAGATTGTACAATTGAAAATGAAACTGAAGAAAATGAAGATGAATTTGGCGATTTTGAATGCAATTTCAAAAATGAAGAACCACAAAGTCAAAAAACCTATGACGATTTTGGAAATTTTGAGGCACCGAAAATTACAGAAGAAGAAGATTTTGATGACGATTTCGGGGATTTTGCTACCGCCTCTACCAGCAAAAAAGAAGAAACGGAATTTGGGGATTTCCCAAACGAAAATTTCGGAAACTTCGCAAACTTCGAAGAAACAGATTTCAGTTCTGTGACGATGTTAACGTTGGAAAGGGAAAACGTTTTGGAAAAATGCGAGTTGATTTTGAAGGAGATGTTTCCGGACTTTGAAAAGAATCCCGATACGGACCTTTTAATAGACGAAATCACCAAAGATGATGCCGTTTTTGAGGAAATTAAAGACTTGACCGAAACTAACGCTTTGGAGTATCAATGGTCGAAATCGACGAGTCAAAAAGTTTTACTGAAGTCGCTGAATATTGACACCAGAAATATTGTAAGTAAAAAACGTTTTATTCTGAACTTTGAGTTGAATTTTTTTCAGTTTTTGTTTTTATCTTCTGGGATTTTTATTTTGTTAATAAATGTTCTGTCTGTTAATTTTTATTATCTTGGTCCAGTTTGGCTGATTTTTTGTAATTTTTTCTGTTTTGTTTTTTTGTGTTTTTTTGTTTTTTTAGGTTTTTTCAAATGATTTGGTTGATTTTATTAGGATTTTGTGTTGGGTTTTTAATAAAAACCCAACACAAAATCCTAAAAACTTTTTATTTTTTTTTTATTAAAATTTTTTTGAAGTAATTTTTGTCGAATTTTAATTTTTTGATGAACTTTTTATTATGTAGTCTAGTTTGGTTGTTTTTTTTCGTTTTTTGTATTTCTTTTTTTTTATTTTTTTGTATTTTTTTCTCTTTTGCCCTTTTCTTTCTTTTTTTTTGTTGTTTTTCATTTTTATTTATTTTGGATTTTTTTTTAATGATATGATTGAATTTTATTAGGATTTTATGTTAGGTTTTTATTTTATAATGTTTGTTGTATTTTTTTATTAAAAAAATTGTTTTAAGTAATTTTCTTTGAATTTAATTTTTGAATGGATTTTTTATTATTTTCGTCTAGGTAAGTTTGGTTGATTTTTGGTTGATTTTTTTTATTTTTTGTATTTCTTTTTATTTTTTTGGAATATTTTTTGTTTTTTCATTTTTGAATTTCTATTTTATATTTTTTTATTTTTTGTTTTTAGGTTATTTTTAAATAATTTGATTTGAGTTTTTTCGAGTTTTTTGGATAAAAGTAATATAACTCGAATTTTAATTTTTGGATGGATTTTTATTATTTTCGTTTGGTTGATTTTTTTTGTTTTTTCTATTTTTAGTTTTTTTCTTTGATTTTTTTGTTTTTCATTTTGAAATTTTCATTTTATAGGTTTTTTATATTTGTTATTTAGGTTATTTTTAAATAATTTGATTGCGTAATATAACTCGAATTTTATTTATTGATTTTTTAGTATTTCAGTCAAGTTTGGTTGATTTTTTTTATTTCTTTTTAGTTTTTTATTTGATTTTTTGGAATCTTTTTCATTTTTGAATTTCCATTTTATTGGTATTATTTAATTTTTGAAAATTTTTGTTTTCTAGGTTATTTTGAAATAATTTGATTGAATTTTATGTTGGGTTTTTATTTTATACGGTTTTCTTGTATTGTTTTTTTCCTTACAATTTTTTTGGTTTTTATTTAATTTATTCTTTTTTGTGTTGTTTTGGTATTTTTTGTTGTTTTTTATTTTTGAATTTCCACTTAATAGGTTATTTATATTTTTAAGGATTTTTTTGTTCTATAAATAATTTGATTTTATGTTGTGTTTTTATTTTTTTATAGGGTTTTTTGTATTGGCTTGTTTTTTTTTGTTAAATTTTTTTATAAGTAATTTTTTATTATTTTCGTCTAGTTTGGTTGATTTTTTTGATTTTGTATTTCTTTTTAGTTTGTTTCTTTAATTTTTTTTGGATATTTTTTTTATTTGTTTGTTGTTTTTCATTTCCGAATTTTCATTTTATAGGTTTTTATTTTTTGTTTTTAGGTTATTTTTGAATAATTTGATTGAGTTTTTTATTTAGGTAACATTTTTTTTAAGTAATATAACTCGAATTTTAATTTTCTTTGGGAATCTTTTATTTTTTTGTTTTCATTTTTTGAATTTCCATTTTTTAGGATATTTTGAAATAATTTGATGGAATTTTATGTTGGGTTTTTAATTTATAGTGTTTTCTTGTATTTTTTTTGGATGACATTTTTTTAAGTAATATAACTCAAATTTTTTCTTTATGGATTTTTTATTATTTTAGTCTAGTTTGGTTGATTTTTGTTTGTTTTTTCTATTTTTTTTAGTTTTTTATTTGATTTCTTTGGAATCTTTTCTTTTTTGTATTTTTTTGTCGTTTTTCATTTTTGAATTTTCATTTTATTGGTATTATTTATTTTTTGGGATTTTTTGTTTTTTGGGTTACCTATTTTGAAATAATTTGATTGAATTTTGTGTTGGGTTTTTATTTTATACCTAGTATTTTCTTGTAATATTTTTTTTTTGGAAGACATTTTTTTAAGTAATATACCTAACTCAAATTTTAATTTTTTTATGGTTTTTTATTATTTTAGTCTAGTTTGGTTGAATTTTTTGGTTTTTCATTTTTAGTCCGATATTTTGGATTTCTATTTATTTATTTTTATTTCTTGTGATTTTAGTCGAATTTTTATTTATTTGGAAATTATCGGTATATTTTTTTAATGTTCTCCGGTAATTTTGACGTAAAGTTTTTAATAAAAAAAAAATTCTTGATAATTGTTAATTTTAGCTTCATGGTTCCGCTTGGAACCCCTCTATGCCAAGATTTGCTGCGAATCTCGGTTCCACACCTTTAGAACCGATTAAACCGGAAGTGATACGTCAACCAGCTACGAAACCTGTCGAAGTAAATCTGGCAACACCGGGACCAGCTGCAAGTGCTGCCACCGCACCGGCAACGCTGGAAATACCCTCGGCTCAATTCGATTGGACGGGCTCCGGACTGATAAATCCTCTCGATTGTAAGTACTTTGTGTTTAATTTTTTTTTATGTTGGTAGTGTAGTTTTTATGCTGTGGTTTTCGTTTTACTTGTTTAACTCTAAATACTGATAAATTTTTTTCATGCTCACCTATGGATTCCTTGCTTTATGTTTCCTTGAATCCCAAACAAAATTTAATGACCTACTAACTAAACCCACATCTTTGCAAAAATCTCAGATTCCCAAACGATGTTGTTAGACTTGGAGCATTTAGTAACAACTCTCGACATTCCCTCCCAAAGTAATTCCCAATCCCTATCCGACAATTCCCCCTCTCCAAACAAGGATCTGGACGATTGGGACCTTTGGTTGCAAAGTGAGTATCTGAAGTTCATTTTTTTTATCTGGACTGCGGCAACGTTGCGAATTTAGGGTTTCGGTTGATAAATACAGTTGTCAAGTTGGTCGCATTGATTAAAACAAACTAAGCTAGTTATAAATCTTATTGTGGTTATGTTTAAATTATTTTATATGGTTGTCAAGTTGAGTTGTCGAAATTCGTATTTAAAAATGCAATTAATTTGGCTTTGGTGGTGTGTAGATGAGTAAAATCATAAAATCATACAAAAAAGTAGTTAAATATAGGTGACTACGGCATAGTTATCTTTTTATATATATATTACATAATAATTAACAAGTAAATTATCAATAATAAATATTATTGTCAATTTGACAGTGAGTGAGAGTTTTTTAATTTTTTAAATACTAAAAATACTAAATCAAACTGGTATACCAACTTAATAAAAAACACGAGTCCAATTAAAAAAAAAGAACTGTGGAAAAACAATTTCGTGTTAAAATACTTAATATTATCTAAAAAATGATTTAAATTAAATATTTGTGTAAAGCGACATCTATACGTGAATAAAGTAACCATCCCAATAAACATTTTTGACGTTATTTTCACCATTAACATTGCCCGTTATTATTTTAATTAAACGTAACAACTATTGATACTTAAAAATATTAAAATAAATTCAAAATATGATTATGATAAGAAAATATGTTATCCTTTGATTTTTTACTACTATAATTGCAAAATATTTTCCCAAAGTATTGAAAATTCTTACACAGGAAAGGTACAAAAAGTGACAGTTGTATTTGTTGGAATTTTAACGCAAAATTTCAGTACTAACGTTCATTTAATTTTTTTTTAAACATTGTCGTCAAGAAACTATTTGGTACTTTTGTATTTTTATTATTATTATTTTAACGATTGTATGACATTTGTCAACTTAAAACTAACATCAGCCCGTGACTAAAGCGCCATAAAGCCACCATCTAAGACCGTTTTCTTTCTAGCTGCGACAGCTAAAGAAAAAGACTCGACTACAGGTCTAAATGTTGCGGAAGTTCTGCAACCGATCGCGACGCAACCGCCGACAATTTCGACCAATCGCAGCGAAGATTTCGACGACTTTGACGATTTTTCCTCGTACACTCCTCAACCGCAACAAAGTTGGTCCAACATGGTACCGGTACCTCTACGCGAAACTCATATATCGTCATACGAGGGCGTGGAAAAAAATGTAAAAGATTTCGGCTGGTTGCAACCTACTATAGTGACGCCGGAAATGCCCCGCAAGGAAATCGTCGAGGAAAAACCTACAGTAACGATACCAATTGAAAGTCATGACGATTTTGATGTTTTCGGGGAGTTTGAGTCAGTTAAAGCAACTGAAGAACCTACTCCATCGAAAATCGATCAAATCGACGATGAAGACGATTTCACAGACTTCCACTCTTCAATACCTGAACCTAAGCAACCTGTAGAAAATAAAATGCAACCTCCAGAAACCCTACAACCTATTAGGCCAGCAGTTTTGCCTCTAGAACCTCTTAAACCTTCAATAATGACTCCGCAAAACCTGTCCACTCAAATAAACTGGCCCGATCCTGGTATTTCCGATGAGGATCTTAAAAGGTTTGAGGTTAGCTTCAGCAAGGCTATAGATGTCGACGAAAAACCTAAAATGACTTCTGTAGAGCAAAAACCACAAAAAGAAGACGATGAGTGGTCTGACTTCGTCTCGGTCCAAAAACCGTCCCCTGTACACAAATTCAACAAAATCGAACGTTCCCCCACCCCAGACTTACCCCTCTCGGTTCTGACCCTGGGAAATCTGCAACCCGCGAGACAACCAATCCCGGTGGTCACCCCTCAAGGTTTAATGCAGACTAAAATATCTACGCAAGCCTTGGACAACGACGATTGGAGCGATTTCGTGTCGAGTCCCCTCCCACAAACAAACGGTTGCCCGGACAACCGGCAGAAGACGAACATCACGACCAATCCGGCGCATTTCGCTGCGCAGGGCAAAAGTGCGCACGTTCGCATCTCGAGTATCTCGGCGTTGCCGGATTTGGATTTCAGGGCCACCGGAAGTTGGAGCAACAACAGGAAATGACGTAGGGGGCACGTTGTGATGTAAACATGTACATATTTTATTGTTTTTTGTTTTGATTTTTGGGTCGTTGACATTTTTATACGGTGTTGCCAAATCAACATTATTCTTGACTGTATTCAATCAAAAAAAGCAAATCTACTGAGTGATATTATTTATTGTTCTATTTAAAATATTCCTGTTTTTAAAAGTATTAATATTTAATTATTATTGTGTACTTAACGAGAAAATATTGTTTTACTGTATATTTTAAAAATGTTGTCCATGTACATAAACTATTTAACATTCCATTTTATTTTAGGTAAATAAATTTATTTACCACTACTACAATGAGTTTTATTTTTGCAGCTTTTAAAATTTAAAAAATGTGAACTTCACTGACATATTTTGACGCATTTAGTTTCAAAATGTCACTACTATAAGTCAAACATTAGCAAACATATTCATCATAAAAATCATGAGTAAGTAAACATTAATAAAAAATTAAATGTGCCATAATTCCCCATGTTTTAGGTAAACGAAATTTTAGTAAATTAAACGAAAAGCATTCTAATATAAACAATGGGTATTAAAAGTAATTTTTTTATAATATTTATTAAAAAAATGTTTTAGGGGACCAAATACTAGCAACAATTTGGATAGGTAAAGTTTTAAAAATATTTTGGTGCCGCGCCATATTGATTTTTTACAAATATCTCGCTTTATATTAACACTACGACATTTTTGTTTATTATAAAAATTGTGGATCAAAAAATTGTCTACAAAAAATGTTTTATAATTTTTTTTTAATTCCTTATACTGTAAACACGGGTGGCTTTAGCTCACTTTCAAACTTCAGCTTAAAATTTTTGTGGTTTTAACAATCATAAACATTAAATTTTGTATACCAAAATTTGAATATTGAGTTGCTCTTTCATAATAACTATGTTATAATATTACATAGGGCTGAGTTTCAAAAATAAAAATTAAAAACTGGGTGTGCAAAGTTACCCCCTGGTTGCGGCTTACTTTGTCTCACAGTATATTTTCCGTATAAAATGAATTCAATATTATATTTTTTTTCTATTAGAAACGTGTTAGCAGCGACATATATCTATTGCAAGGGATTACCGATAAAAAAAATAAAAAAACGACCTGTAGTTAACCAAGGATCATCATTTCAAAGGATTGCGCATAATATAGAAATTGTAACGCGTGTATTTCTAAAAGTTTTGCACTGATGTGATATATACAATTTTAAAGTGTAATAAATCCCATTTCTTTCTTTAAAACACTGATTTTCCTGTAATATAAACTCAATAGAATCGCTCAATTGACAGGTCTAGACCAACAAATTATAAATGTTAATTTTATCGAGCGCGAAAAGATTTTTCATAAATGGGTTAGTCACCCGCGGGGTGCAAAGTCACCGGTGTTTACGGTACCTTTAAAGTTATTATGAAAAATTATTTTTTATGAAAAATTATTTTAGTGCCGCGCCATATTGTTTTTTGCTAATATCTCGCTTTGAATTAACATTATGACATTTTTGTTTATTATGAAAATTTTAGCCCTAAATATTTTCCACAAAAAGGTCCTATACATTTTTTATGTATTCGTTATCGTTTTTAAGTTATAAAGAATAATAAATATTTTAGTGCCGCGCCAAGTTATTTTTTGAAAATATCGCAGTTGTTATTTACGGGTGACATTCACAATATCGAAATTCCTTATATCGAATTCAAAATATCGAACACTTTTTATCGAAAATCAAAATATCGAAAATACAAAATGTCGAAAATCATAATATCGAAAATTAAAATGTCGATTTGAAAATGTCGAAATTTTATTTAATCGAATTTTCAATTTATCGAAAATAAAATCTCGACCGCTGTCATACAGGTTATGACGAATAGCTGTCATCTTGGTTATGCAGGTACACTGCATTGTGCCATACCAAACCAACCCAAACTTAACAACCCAACCCAACCGACCCCGCCCCATTGGGCCCCTCCCGTCCCATTGAGCAATAGAGGTATAATATATCTAAGGGCAGGCTGGATTGTGACAATGGGGCGGGAGGGGCCCAATGGGGCGGGGTCGGTTGGGTTGGGTTGTTAAGTTTGGGTTAGTTTGGTATGGCACAATGCAGTGTACCTGCATAACCAAAATGACATCTATTCGTCATAACCTTGAGGAATACTTTGCTACATTTAGCCTCTAGTTGAAAATGAGGTTAAAATATGCGACGGTTGAGCACACACATTTCTACGTCCGTCCGACGGTCGGGGAGACACTACCTTTAATTATTCGACATTTTCAAATCGACATTTTAATTTTCAATATTATTATTTTCGACATTTTGAATTTTCGATATTTTGATCTTCGACATTTTGTATTTTCGATATTTTGAATTCGATATAATGAATTTCGATATTGTGAATGTCACCCGTTATTTACATTAGGACATTTTTGTTTATTATAAATATTGTAGATCAAAAAATTGTCTACAATAAAAGTCCCATACTTTTTTTAATTTTATATACCTTTAAAGTTATGAAGAAAAATAATTACTTTAGTGCCGCGCCATTTTGTTTTTTGCAAATATCTCGCTTTGTATTAACATTACGACTTTTTTATTATTATAAAAATTGTATATCCCAAAATTCTCAACAAAAAAGTCCCAAATCTTTTTCACGTAAAATAAAGCGTTTATTAAATATCGCCCTTATTATTAATTATTTTTGAACAGTTCTGACCAAGCTTCAAGAAAAAGTTTACCGCCTTCAAAACCCTTTTCATGGGGTTCCAATTTGAACGGGCCTTTGATTGTATCCCCGATATTGAAGGTTCAAAAAAATACCATGAAAAAAACTGTAATCCCGAGAAGCTACCCCATGGACAAATTTACCAGCAATATAAGCAATCTTAATCCCAAAAGGTTAGATCAAAAAAAAAAATCTTTTATTGACAATGGGGTAGTTAAATTTTTTCTGACCTATACTTTTTATGGTTTTATTCAAGGCGTTTTGTAATATTAAACATTTCTGTGAAATCAGAATTTCAATTGAGTTTACCGTTTTCGAGATATTTACAAAAAATATAAATTTTTATGACGTCACAAACCTCGCCATGTGACCAACATTTTAAGATTTCTATTGGTTGAAAATTACCCTGTTGTCAAAGTTGTCTTGTTAATGATTTCATTCGGTTATGTCAGAAAATACCCGAAGAGGTTATGTACAAATACTGTCACTGTCAGTTGAGTGAAAGATGGTCACCAAATTCATTAAGTACCTATCTTCCTTATTACGAGGTATCATATTACTGTTTGATATTTTAGAGTCCAAGATATATCTAAAAGAATATAAAGAACTAGGCATTATACTAATGAAATGCATTTACGACAAAATAAATGATTATAATTATAGGTACTTACTTTATTAGTTTAAAAGCTCCAATGTTCAATGTAACCAACCATTCCACAAGATTCCTCTGCTTTGGAGTCCGTTATTAATAAATCACTTATCTAATATCAATTACAAATAACATAACAATAACATTGATTTTCAATAATCTAAATTAAAAAAAATATAACCCGAAAAAAAGAAACGTCAAAAAATCAATTCTTCTTCTTCTTCTCAACTAAAATTATAGATCAAGTGGTTTTAAAACTAAAATATTATAACGTGACGCCATCTATCGTAAGAATCTTAAACTAAACACTGGCAACCATAGAAAAAGCTGGCAACGTTGTCAATAGGCTAGTGACGTAATTAGTAGATTTTTTTTGTAAATATCTCGAAAACGGTAAACTCAATTGAAATTCCGATTTCACAGAAATGTTTAAAATTACAAAACGTCTCGAATAAAACCATAAAAAGTATAGGTCAGAAAAAATTTAACCACCCCATTTTATTGGTAGAGCGCGTACCCCCTTTAACGCTTCGAAAACCCCCACGCGACCGAAGCGCCAGCTGTCGGCAGATGCGAAAACCAAAGCGAAAAAAACGAAACCGGAAGTAATCACGATGATGTACCCGAAAAAACGCAATTCCGACACATCCTTGACGTCATCTTCGACGTGCTTCAACAGAAGCAAATCGTATGTGATGTGGATGTTGATTAGGGTGATTCATTTCCGCAAATTTTTTTTTTTTTTTTGGTGCTCAGGCAAAATATTAATCTGCATATAGGAAAAAACATTCTCAACAAGTTTGAGCTCTTAATATTAATTTTAAGCACTTACTATTTAAATTTAAAGTTTTACCGTTTAAAATGCATGTAAAAAATATATTTTTTTTTCAAATTTCTAATGCTTACCCACCTTTGACAATATTGCAAATCGGTTTAATACACCTTATGGGGAATTTCACGCTCTTTAAAATTGCTTTTGAGTTTTTTTTGTAACTCGCATTGGTTCACCAGTAGGAGTCGTCAAAGGACAGTTTTTGAAAAAAATCGTTTTTTTTATTTTTTTGAGCAAATCGCCAAAAGTAGTGAGAAAAAAGGGCTGATTCAGATTATGAATTTATCTGTTGTTTTCATATTCATTATAAGTGAGAAATCAATAATTTTAAAAAACTTCTTAGTGTAGGGAAATATAATGATAATAAATAGAAAAAATCAATCTAAACAACATTATGAGTTGGTAATTATCAATTTCTTACGTTTTCAGTTATAAAAATGGCTGTAAATTCATTAAATATTGGTTGGATAACTTTTTTTTATGATTCAGCCCTTTTTTCTCCCTACTTTTTGCGGTGTGTTAGAAAAAATTTAAAAAAAAAAACGATTTTTTTTCAAAAACTGTCCTTTGACGACTCCTACTGGTGAACCAATGCGAGTTACAAAAAAAAACTCAAAAGCAATTTTAAAGAGCGTGAAATTCCCCATAAGGTGTATTAAACCGATTTGCAATATTGTCAAAGGTGGGTAAGCATTGGAAATTCGAAAAAAAAAATATATTTTTTACATGCATTTTAAACGGTAAAACTTTAAATTTAAATAGTAAGTGCTTAAAATTAATATTAAGAGCTCAAACTTGTTGAGAATTTTTTTTTCTATATGCAGATTAATATTTTGCTTGAGCACCGAAGAAAACAAAAACTTTGCGGAAATGAATCACCCTAATGTTGATGTTTAAGTTTTTACGGTTTCTGCTTTTAGGGTGTTGTGTTATAGGCATGAGAACATTGCCAATTTGAATTCTTCCGGGCCTCTGAATATTGTATCTTTGGAGGAATCGGTAAAAATGCCATTTTCATTAATAATGATAAAAGTACCGGCGCATCCACCATTTTTGCAAAAATGGTGAATTCGCCGACGTATTATTTGGGTGAATA